AGAGAGAAAAAGATGGCTTCTGGTTTTGGCAAAGAGGGAAGATGCTGAGGTGGGAGGGGAGGGGGTATCCGAGTTTGACTTGACCTCTGGTGGAGCCTTGTAGCCACTGCTCTAACTCGTCAGTCCTGAGAGGTGGGAGGATAAATGTTTCTCATTTTCTATCAACTGCATTCCACAAGTCTCCAAAGAGCTTGCAAGGCCATTGGATGAGGTTGAGCACAAGGGGCCTTTGCTTGCTGGGAAACCAGTTCTCAAAGGACAGTTAACATCATCACTTAGCTTTTATCCAGCACTGTCTATACCAAATGCACACCCTTTCCCTTGCCTAAACAGAAAGCTCAACTCAGGGAAAAAGCATGAAATGAGCCACAAATTACTCTCAGGAAGGAATGACCCTGGGGCTGAGGCAACGAGTTCTTTAGAGGAGAGCATCCTGGAGGTGGTAATGGACTTGGAGCCTTGTGAACCCCAAGTCTGGGCGCCTTTATACGAGAGACAGAGGGACGCCCTACCTTGCCTGAACACAGTATTTAGGCAGTTCGAGGCTGGTCACAAATGCTGGCAAACTGCCCACACTGAGTAGCTCACACTGTGTAGCTCCTGGAGGGAAGGGCTCATATCAGAGGTTGAGTGAAGAACTGGGTCATACCTGGTGAGTTCTGACAATGGACTTTTCAACATAGATTCTAATCCCAGCTCTGTCTCTGACCAGCTGGGTGACACTGGGCAAGTTCCATAGCCTCTGAGCCTTGTTCTCTCCACTTATAAAGGAGTGATCCAAATAATTCTGGCCATATCTGTCTCACGGAATTGCTGTGAGAGTCAACTGAGACAACATATGTGAGACACACTTGGTAGACTCCAAAGTGCTATAGAAATGCTAATTATTAAGCATGATTTTATTATAGCTGGGACCAAACGCTTTCTGGGACACATCTGTAATTGTTTCTGAAAGCCATGGGAGGGACAGGGGAATTCCATTAATGAAGAAAATGCTTCAAAGCAAGCTTTGCTGAAAACCAGCTTGTCATTGCAAAAGGGATTCCATCCACTGCCCAGCTACCCCAGGACAGGCCCTTTGTGCTGCGGAGTGGGTGGCATCGGCACCTGCTAGGAACCAGTGCCCACTTCCTGCTCCCGTTCAGAGCACAGCCTCCGACAGCCAAGCCACCCACCTGCTGACGGCACTGGAGGAGAAGCAGGTGGGGAACCAGAATAGCCGAGACTCTGGGAGTCAGACAGTGCTGGGTTCCACCTCTTGTGTGGACTGGGCAGGTTCTTTAGACTCCTCTATTTATAAATGATAATAGTTGTTGCTTTTTGCACCCTGACTGTGCGTCAGACAACGCATTAAATATTTATCTCATCTAACTCTTACAACCAGCCCACAAAATACCCAATTTACAGATGGGGAAGTAGAGGCTACAGAGGTTAAGGGATGTGCCTGAGGTCACACAGGAAATGAGTGGTAGAGTCAGGATTTGAAGCCTGCTTGGCTCCACGTGGCTAGACAGCATCTCAGATCTTTTCTAGCTCTGATGTCATGCTATTCTAACAACTCTCACGTAGAAACAGCACGTTGTTGTTACCTATATAATTACACAAAGGCTCTACAGCTGTTAGGAGAACAAGCTCCGTGAGTTAAGCCTGCCTGGTTTCCAATCAGGCTGTGCCATTTACTGTGAGATAACCTCTCCAAGACTCTGATCCAGCCCTACAGCAGGCTGCTGTGAGAATGCTGTGAGACATGCCTATAAAGCCCTTGGCACATAGTAAGTGCGCATTAAAGGTTTCCCTTTGTCTTTCTTTAGGATTCCCCTCTAGCAGCTATGTGAGACAACTTCTCCCACCTCTAGCAGTGGTTGTTAAATTGTGTTCCACAGTCTAGGGGTCCTTGGGGGGGCAGTGTGGAGACTGACAAGGCAGGGCTCCATGGATCCCACCAGCTCCATCACAGAGCAGATCTGCTGTTATCTCTTCTGTATTTTGGAATTCAAATTTACTTATTTAAAAAGGTTTTTCGACTTAATTTCTAGGAAACGTTTAAACTAAATGAAGGAAATGTGTACGTACTAAAATTTAACCCTAAAAGTTCTATGTTCTCCATATCTTATTTCTCCTCTAGTCCAACCATAAGCTCTAAAGGCAGGACTTAGGATGGGCAGCAGCGGGACAATGGTTCTGGTACGATCTTTACTCTCCCATCCACAGGATCAGCTTGTGCATTAAACCCTTCTGGTGATCTTGTTAAGAAACAATATCCAGGCCCCCTCCCAGTGTGGCTGATTCAGTAGCTAAGGGCTGGGCCCGTTTAAACAAGCTCCTCAGGTGATATCCATACAGATGGTCAGGGTGTCACCCTTTGAGAAATAATACTTAAAAACACAGGGGGACAAGTGGGCACTTCTTTCTAAAGCATTTTTTATCTTCCTAATGAATTTCAATGAACATTGTTCAAGGAAAACCTGATAGGGGATTCCCACATGTAAAACATGAAAGTGGAGGGGATTTTCTGGAGCATTGGTCAAGACCAGGCACCGTCTTTTTCCTCACCAAGAGCCCACAGCGCCTCCTTGTGGACAATCTTATCAAAGAGATCCGGTTCGTCTTGGGTGAAGGGCTTCCATCACCTGGAGACATCTCCCAGGACCCCTTGAGCGCTGCTCACCCCCGGGAGGCCTGTTTCCCTACCTGACACCCTCTGAGCTTAGTCTGCATTAGGGTCCAGGAGGCTGTGACCCTCCTGGAATACCCTCCCCTCCACACTTAATCCCATCCACCCTCTATTAACACTACATCTCACCCAGAGGACCTCCTGGAATCCTCTCACCTCCAGTCCCTACAGAACATACAGTCTGTGGAATGAAATCTCACCCTATCTTGGTCTTTAGCTGTTGCTGGGACTCGTGATACACTCCCACAAATATACCAAAATTAGACCGTAAGCTCCTTGGGGTCAGAAATCCCCCTTCTCCTTCCCTCGCTGTGCTCCTGATCTAGCATTTGGCACATGGTGAATACCTAATACTCGTTGAATGAAAGAACAAATGACTCCACAGTGCCGTTCCCCTCTGACTTTCCCTTCCAACTCCCTCCAAAAAGAATAAAACTGATACATTCTGGCTTTTAAGTGTTCCTTGTTTCAATTATTTTGGAGAGTGTTTAAAAATAATTGAGTTTGGGCTTCCCTGGTGGCGCAGCGGTTGAGAGTCCGCCTGCCGATGCAGGGGACACGGGTTCGTGCCCCGGTCTGGGAAGATACCACATGCCGCAGAGTGGCAGGGCCCGTGAGCCATGGCCGCTGAGCCTGCGCGTCCCGAGCCTGTGCTCCGCAATGGGAGAGGCCACAACAGTGAGAGGCCCGCGTACGGCAAAAAAAAAAAAAAAAAAAAATTGAGTTTTAGTGTTTAAAATGTTTGTCTCGGGGCTTCCCTGGTGGCGCAGTGGTTAAGAATCCGCTTGCCAATGCAAGGAACACGGGTTCGAGCCTTGGTCCAGGAAGATCCCACATGCTGTGAAGCAACTAAGCCTGTGTGCCACAACTACTGAGCCCACGTGCCACAACTACTGAAGCCCTCGCACCTAGAGCCCATGCTCCGCAGCAAGAGAAGCCACCGCAATGAGAGGCCCACGCACCGCAACGAAGAGTAGTCCCCGCTCACTGCAACTAGAGAAAACCCGCGCGCAGCAATGAAGACCCAATGCATCCAAAAATAAATAAAATAAATTTTTTTAAAAAGTATGTCTCAATTTTGAGCTTTTTTGCGATGCAGAGCCAGAGAATACAACTTCTACATTTTCTTCTTTTAAAATCTTAAGCCTACCTAGCCTCCTGCAGGCAACTGGAAAGAAGAGCTCTCTCTCTTTGTAGATGTTCAGTATATGTCTATCAATTCTATCCAAGTAACTATATTATTCCTACCCTCTTATCCTGATTTCAGCTTATTTTTTGTCTATATTATCTGTCAAGGCTGTCAAGTTCAAAATTCCCTATTGATTGTTTTGGGTGGGGCCAATTCACCTTTCCCTTGTGGGTTTTACTTTTTACTATTGTTCAATACACATTGCTTTAATAATGTATTTTATTTACATTCTATTCCTTACGCCATTATAGAATAAACCTTTCTCTCACTCAAGACTCTCTGCTTTGCTTCCTTCTTGTTTGATACTCACATTACTCATGCTTTCCTGAATCAATATGCAGTCACATATATTTGATAAATTTCCTAGTTTTGCTTCTGTGACTTTTTCCTTTATACAACTTTCTAATAAACTTTGCAGTGCAGACTTCTGCTTTTGAATCTGACCTGAGACTCTCTGCTAATTTAGGGATCCAGACTGTGCATGTTGTCATTAATCACGATCAGTTTTCTTTCACTGCCTACTTTATGCTTCTCGGTGCTCTTCTGTTACCTTTTTACTGCACGAACTACTGTTTTCTACAACTTTTTAAAAATGTGGAAGACAAACATATCGTGTTTTCATTCTGTTAGTGATCAGTAAAGCTGACTTGAACACAAGTCTCCTTGGGTCCTACTTTGTTTTGTGAAGTCTCTGCATGTGCCTTTGTCAACAGTCTCAATCCCACGAGCAGAGGTCGCTGCTGGGGAGGGAAGACGTGGTCTGACTTTGGTTTCGTGTCCACACGGTTCTGGGGGACTTGGGAAGCCCAGCCCCTGTGCCCTCACGGGGCCCAGCTCCCCCATCATCCCTCCGCACCCACCCATGCCGCCTCTCCACTACCTTCGACTGCCAAGTGTTCTGAGCTTTTGTGTTGGCAGCTAAATATGCTCAGAGTCCCGCCTCCTCGATTTCTGACGTTTCTCCATGACTACTGATCGTTACTAGAACAGGGGGCAAGCAATGGGCCGTGGTCCCCAGCCCGCTTTCTCCCTGAGGTCATGAGTCCCTCTGTGGTCCCTCCATGAGCACAGCTGCCTGGTGACTTAGATGACCTGGCAGCAGCTGAGCAGCCCACCGAGGCACTGGGGGTCTCTTACCTCAAACTGGATCAGCACCGTCCCGCTTTCGAGGCCCTTCTTTAGCTGTTCCATGGATCCCTCCAGCGTGTCTCCACCCTCCGGACACACGGGGAAAATGGCCTCTGGGAAAAGCTGGTGCAGTTCATCTTCAGATTTGATATCAGCAAACGAGTGGACAGCTGTAGTGGACAAGAAAGAGCTTGTCTGGCTTGTGCAGCCACGTGCTGGGTGATGGGATTCCTCCCCCCAAATTAGTCTTATGACACCTGAATGCAGATGGTTTAAAACATCTTATTAAATGATTAAGCGCATGGTAATCATTTTCACCAAAGATACAACTTCTCGTTGAATGATTCAATATGTACTAATTATACAAAATGCCTCTCCCGTTGCGGAGGACAGGCTCCGGACACGCAGGCTCAGCGGCCATGGCTTACGGGCCCAGCCGCTCCGCGGCATGTGGGATCTTCCCAGACCGGGGCATGAACCTGTGTCCCCTGCATCGGCAGGCAGGCTCTCAACCACTGCGCCACCAGGGAAGCCTGCTGATTAGTTTTAAATGACGGTGTTTAGTACTCAAGAGGCTTTTGCCAAAGGTAAGAGAAAGGGAAAGGACGTTTTTAAAGAAAACAGATTTTCTCCCTTTGCTCTCTGTGACCTGGTTATTCTTCTACCCCTGCTCTTCCTTCCTTCTCCGGTCCCTTTCATTTGCTCCCTTAAAACAGGCATTTTCGCAGGAAACTGGTGCGGGGTCTGACCCTCTCTCCACACCACCACCGCCCCGCAGAGCTCAGTCAGTCAGTCTCTAACTCGAGGCCATTGTTAGGTGGGAGGCTCCCAAGTAAACATCTCTAGTCTCCTCTGTGCTTCCTCTTTGGAAATCTCCCTTCACATCAGACTCAATACGGGTAAAAACAAACAGAGGACCCCCTCTCCCCAACCACGCACAATACTTCCCAGCCTCACGTGCCTCTTTCTGTCTAGTCACTTCAAACTTTGGGATCATCTCTGAATGTTCCCTTTCTACCCAGGAAGAGAAGTCACTTCCCTTACCCAAGAGCCTTCAATGACTCCCCACTGCCTTCAAGATAACAGGAAAGGAGAAAGAAAGGAACCACTTTTGTGTTTTCCACATAGTTGAACTGAATCCTCACAACTCTGAACCAGCGGTCTTTATTCCCATTTTACAGATGAGGACACTGATTCACAGGGCAAAAGAGCTGTCCAAAGTGACCCAGCCTGTCAGGGTGGGACACGGGAATTCAGTCCACATGTCTGACGCTAAAGACCACATTCTTTCCACTGACCACAGAAGCTCAGATCTTCTGCTTATTTTCATGATTTCTGTCCTATCTGCTATTCCCTATGCTACCATTTTTCTTTTTATCAACTCATTTTTTACTTGAATGTTTATTTTAAAAATGAACTTACCATTACAGTGATAGAAAATCAGTGGCACTGCTCTTTAAGCTCTAATCGTCTACAAACGTCTGTTTCCCTCACCTCACACAGGCGCCAGCCCTTTGCCATGGGTTGGTGGAGGACCCCCTCCCGCCCTGGCCCGGCCGGAATGCTCTCGTTCCAGCCCCTCGTATTGGCCAGCATGTCACACGGCACTTCATGTGATGGAGAGGCCTGCTCCCGATCGCTGGATTCCTTCCTTCTCTATTATCACGTGGCCTTACCAGACACACGGCAACTTACTTAACCTCTCTGTGGTTGGCTTCCTCATTTGGGGGTAAGAATACCAACCTTACGAGAACATTATAAGAGTTGAAGAGGATAATTACGCAAAGCAATTAACACAGTGCAGGCACTTCGCTGGTGCTGCAGAGACATCAGCTACTGTCACTAGTGACACCTACTGTGTGTCGAGCATGGAGCTGGGTTTGGTGGGGATGGGTGGTGGGAGGAGGTGGGTAGGAGTCTGGAGAGATCTGGCAGGGCCTCACGGAGGAGGTGGGATGAGAGCTGGCACTGGGAGTTTCGGTGGGAACAGAGAAGGCAGGCATGAGGGGGCGTGGGCTGTGCCGACAACTGTGAGGCCAGAACAGAGATGCGGGGCCAGGGCTTGAGTCGCACACTTCATTCACCTGCAGTATTTGAGAGCTGGGAAGGAGGATGCGAGGACTCGGCTTATTGCTTTATGACAACAACGACAACAACGATAATAGTAGCTGTATTCAACAGAGGTTGCCTTTCAAATGCCCACCAAGTACTGGGCAGCATCTTTGATGCCTTCCAGTATGAGTATCATTTAATCTTCCGAGGGACCCTTGGAGGTAGCGACTATGTCATCCTCATTTTACATTAGAGGAAACTGAAACACAGATTGGGTGAGAAACTTGCTCAAGGTCCCTGAACCCAGTAGGAGGCAGAGTTCGAAGAGCCCCAAGGCAGCCAGGCTCCTGCCCCACTCTGCTTACTGCCTCTGCAACAAAAACCAAATGTACATGAATAAAATGTAACCTGGTCCTTTGAGGAAGGGTTGAATATGCAAATGCAGACAGGGCCAGGCAGCTAAGAGGGCTGTGTGAAGTGGGCTGAGTTGGGCCTGGGAGGAATGGGGAAGGGGAGGGTCACACCTAGTATATAAAGGGGTGGAGGGCGCTGCCTACCTGCAGAGGACTGGCCATGAGGGGCGGGGCCCTGTGGAGGCAGATCTCCATATTTTTCAAGGGAGAAGTCGGCCATCAGGTGGTCACGGGAAAGCCCTTGATTTTCCCATGTTGGCTATAAGTGCAACATTGCAAAATCACGGAACAGGCTGGGGAAGGCCCTCTTTGCTAAGGCTCCTCTCCCGCAGGTGGCTGTTACCTTTCCTCCTGATCACCAGGGCCAGCTCCCGTGTGTGCGACTCCCGGCTGGCTTTGATGAACATCACCACTTGGTCATGGGTGTGTTCTGAGATGTCCCGGCCGTTGATTAGCACGATTTGATCCCCTTCGTTCAGCTTAGGAATGCAGGTGTCCGCCTGCATGGGGGAAGAGCGAGTTTCTTCCGTTATCATAACACAATCCTCAAGGTAAGAACCTGATGTTTTTTGAGCCCCGACACTTGAGACCATGACCAAGTTCTCTTCTTCGCCCTCAGGCATTACCGTCTTTATTTTTACCTCCACTGCAATGTTGACATGGTAGCTGGCAGTGGGATTTTAAAGGAGTCCTGCTCAGAACCTGCGTTATGAAACATTTTGGAGTAAAGCTAAGAAAACTACTGAGGCTATTTCTCTATGGTAGCCAGGCTTCACTTATTACTGTAATGTCATAATGACTTCAATGCCTCTATCTTTTGTTGTCTAGATGTGTGGTTAGAAAATGATTCATCAGGGCTTCCCTGGTGGCGCAGTGGTTGAGAGTCCGCCTGTCGACGCAGGGGACACGGGTTCGTGCCCCGGTCCGGGAAGATCCCACGTGCCGCGGAGCGGCTGGGCCTGTGAGCCATGGCCGCTGAGCCTGCGTGTCCGGAGCCTGTGCTCCGCAACGGGAGAGGCCACAACAGTGAGAGGCCCGTATACCGGTTAAAAAAAAAAAAAAAAAGAAAATGATTCGTCAGCTAAAAGCGAGTATTTATCTATCTTGTGATGGAGAAAGGCTTTGCAAACATAACCCCAAAGGCAGAAGCCATTATGGAGAGAAGCCATGCATTGAACAGTGTGGGAATGAAAGGCTTCTTAACTCACAGAGGCCACAAGCAGTAAGAAAAGGTAAACCACAAGCTTAAGAGTAAAACTCCCAAACAGGCACCTTCTTAGGAGGCACAGGGACCCTTTGGTGCTCACTGTTATACAAAAGCAAATCACCTCCTAGATGCCTAGAGCCCCAGACAGAGGGCTGAGGGTGGGGAGGGACAGGGACACAGGGGCCGTGAGCCCACTCGGAGCGAGCAGAACAGCAAACTCTAAGCCCCAAGTTTCCTTCTTTCGGGCAGGACTTCTACATTTCAACGTGCACACCAGTCATCCGGGGATCTGGTTAAAATGCAGATTCTGGTCCAGGAGGTCTGGGGTGGGCCCGAGAGTCTGCATTTCCAATGAGCTCCCAGGTGATGCTGGTGCTGCAGCTTCGGGGACCACAGCGAGCAGCAAGGCTCTGGAAAACGGCCTCCATTCTTTCCTATCTATGTGCGTATGCATTTACACACACCCTCTGCTACCAGTAACAAAGAAACAGGACACAGAAACAGAAATCTGTTACCTGTAGGGGAAAGCACACCTGGGAAATAACAGAATATGTTTACTTACAGGTGACTCTGGGTTTATCCTTGATACCACAAGAGGCATCTTTTGATCCACTCCTCCCTGTAAACATGTAGATTAAAAAACCACTTGAGTCGTTCACAGCAACAAAGACATGCAGATATCTCTGACACAAGGGAGGGCTCAAACTTCCCTTGAATTTATTCTAATCGCAGGCGTTGGCACCTTTCGGAATGACAAGGTTCCTGGGTCCCTGGGTCTAGTGGGCCAACCAGAAAGAAGGCTGCTCAGAAGCCTCCCACTGCTATCCCCACCTTCCACAGACCAAAGATGCACTTGGAGGAAGCAGCCTCCTTTCAAAAAATGCAAACATCCCCTGGAGCAGGACTCCAGAAGCACAGCCCCTAACTGCTGATAGACAGGGGGTTTTCAGTGGAGGAGAGGAGCTGTCGAAAGGTCCCATGTCGTGAGGGCTTTTGACCTCTGAGAACAGGCTGTCAGCAGGGCTGCGGGTATTGGAAAGGAGTGCGTGATGGCAGCTGCGGGGTGGGCCTCAAAGACCACCTGCCCTCACTTTGCTCTAGAGTAAACCTTTTCTGTACAGGGCCAGATATTACCTATCTTGGCTTTGTGGGACAGAGGGCTCTGTCGTAACTTCTCCACTCTGCCACCGTAGTGCCAAAGGAGCCACAAACCATTTGTAAATGAATGAGGTGTCTGCGTTCCAATAAAACTTTATTTATAAAAACAGAGGGGATTTGGCCTGCAGGCCATAGCTTGCAGAGCCTGCCTAGAGGGAGGCAGAGGAGGGTGATGGCCCTGCACTTGAACCACTGTTCTCTCTTAGCAATGCTGAGGGGTTCCCATCTCTCTGAGCCTTAGTGTGCATCTATAAAATGGGTTTTAAGGGCTTCCATGGTGGCGCAGTAGTTGAGAGTCCGCCTGCCGATGCAGGGGACGCAGGTTCGTGCCCCGGTCTGGGAAGATCCCGCATGCCACGGAGCGGCTGGGCCCGTGAGCCATGGCCGCTGAGCCTGCGCGTCCGGAGCCTGTGCTCCGCAACGGGAGAGGCCACAGCAGTGAGAGGCCCGCGTACCGCAAAAAAAAATAAATAAATAAAATAAATGGGTTTTAAAATTCCAATTTCACCACTTAATAGAAGAACTCAATAAGGTGATATAAATAAGTACACAGAGCAGGCACTCGGTATGAGGCAGCTACTATGGCCACAAAAAAAAAGCTCCCAATTCTGAAGTCCGAGCCAATTTCCTTATGCAGCCTTGGGTACGTGGCACTTTTCTAATGGAAGTTAAAAAGTCATCTAAAGACTGCTTCAGAGCATCAAATGTCCTTATAAATTACACACAACATACCTTTAGATTAAATCCAAATTTTCCATCTTCATCTGGTGTGATGCGGATCAAGACTAAGTAGCCGTCACCATCATTCTGGAGAACGTCAGAAAATCATCAGTTATCTCACTTCTTTCTCCAGTGGTTGGTGATACGCTATTTTCTTTGAGTCATAACCACCTAATCGCCCGTAAGGCAGCCCTGCACGGGAGGCCTGGCTGGGTCGGCTGCCACTTCAGCCGCAGCACCTGGGGTCACGCACCTTGTCACAGTAGTACTGGCTGGAGTCCTCGGTGGAGCCCCCTTTGGTCACCCTGTGGAAGTCCTCTAAGAACTGCTGATCGACGCCATCTGGGGAACAGGAGCCTGGAGCATTTGAAGATGGAGACACAGAACTGGATGACTTCTGGGTCAGGCAGCTTTGTGCTGGGTTGTTCTCGGATATACTCCTTCATCGTGGGGAAGGAGGAGATATTTTAATAACTGGATTAATATTTTATCAGAGCAAACATTACTGACTGTTGGGGCCTGGCATCTCGCGGCTGTCACCAATCCTTGGAACCTTAGAAGAGCTCCAAAGGTCAAGCCCAGGGCTCAGGCACATCCAGAGTCCACTGGCTACCCATGTCCCCAGCTGGCCTAAAGATCATCACCTTTAGTTTTGGGGAAAAGGGGAAGGAGGGCAGGGTAGTACCAGGAACTGCTGAAAACTCAGCTGCTTTGGAAGGGTGATAGGGAAATATGCCCAGCTACTCTGGTGCTTAATTATTGAAGCTCACCCAGATGCATGCGTCTCCATCCCTTTTGAAAGCTTTTCCCTTCCATCTCACTCCCACTCATAGCTCTGCTTCACAGGACAGTTCGCTACCCAAAGGAAATGGGGCTAACGTGGCATATTCAGGACAATTTATATGAATCCTAGTTTACATTATTCACCTGTGACATCCATTAATGCCTCCACTGAGATTATACGTTTTATTTTCCTCTAATGTAAGTCCTTTTGTATCTTGGAGCTGCGCGGCCCAATATGGCAGTCACTAGTCACATGTGGCTATTTAAATTTAAGTAAATTAAGAATAGAAAGTTCCTCAGTTGTACCAGTCACATTTCAAAAATGCTCAACAGCCACACGTGGCTAGAGGCTCCTGCATTGGACAGCGCAGTTACAGGACATTTCCATCATCGCAGGAAATTCTACTGGATGGCGTTATCTTCGAGAATTACAGACTATTACAACTGAAAAGACCTCTGTGGTCATCTGGTTCAACTCCCATTTCACAGATGAAGAAACAGGTCAAGAGGCGCTGAGTGACTTGCCCAAGGTCACACAGCTTTCCCCTCACCTGACAGACAGAAGTCTGATGAACACGACTCCCCCAGCACCTCTCCCCTCTCCTCTCCTCACACCAGGTCTGCTCCTAAGACCCTCCTCTCTAACCTCTCAGGGCCACAGGGATGAACACGGTGGAGGACACGCAACTTCTCTGCATCATGCACACCCACACTAGACCCCTTCCAGAGCCACAGTCCTAGCAAAAGATGCCTTTAAAAGCCAACAGAATATGGGGTTGTCCTCATGTTCCACAGGCTCCTCCATATTCTAATCTCATTCCAGGTTAGTGATGGGAAAGGTGAGCAAAGACAGACATTCAGTGAAACAAACAGACAAAAGACAGCTGCTGCTGCCTCTTTATTTCAGGTCCTTATCCATGGAGTTTTCATTAATGCAGTGCTTCTGTTTCCTAGCAAGTTCAAATTAGCTTTACTTTAAATATAGAATCTGTATCACAGTCACACAAAATGATTCACAGCCTCAATTCATTTGAATAAAAGAATTCAGTGACAGAGCAGTACAGAAGTAGAGCTATTTGCAAGAGAAGAGTTTGGCCTTAAGGTTTTCAAGTTGGATGGGAAGGCATTTCAGAGAGAGGATATTTTGTTATGTACTAGTGGTATGTTTTCAGACTGAAAATAAATGAGACTTTAATTTACTTAAAAGGGAGCTAAAAAAAAAAATTCTCCCGAAGTTGGGCAACTTTTCTAAGTTTTGATGTTTATAAGAGCACCTCCTAGTGGCAGAAAGGGAAACTTGGAAGTTGCTAAACAGGATAAAGCCAAAGAGGTTTAGGAAAAGCCATTTCCAGCTCTAGGGGTGGACCTGAACCTTTACTGTGAAGCCGCAAATAGCATTCATACTTCAAACATTTGGAAGAATCTGGAGATGAGAGCGATGGAAAGGGTGATGACATTTAAACAGAAGAGCAAGGTGACAAAGCAGAAGACAACAGACTTTTCAGTAAACTGTAATGTATTTCTGTATTCATTATATTTAATTTCTAAATTCTGAATTTCGAATTACATTATATAGAATTTAGATAACATCTTATAAGGTTTTAAAGTATTTTTCTTTTTCAGTATAAAATGTAATGGTCTATCCCAAACAGCCCATAGTACTAAAAACAACATATTCAATGTCATTATGTGTCCAATCCTATTTTCTAAGTAGGGGTGGAGAGCTTACTCTTAGATGGTAATTTATTAAACATGACAATATTTTTTTGGCTGATCAACCGTGTACAGACGTTCCCTGTAGGCTGCAGTAATGCTCCGCTCAGTGTGGAGGATGGACAGACAGATGGCGAGGAGGACATGTAATGACAGGAAGCAACAAGAAGGTGGCAGATGGACGCAGCACAGGGATGCCAGGAGTAAAGACGCCAAACCAAGTGGCCTTCCTCCCTACCAGGGCAGGACGTGAGGTGCGACCGAGGGGAGAGCCCAGTGGGTGAGGACGGAGAGAAGAGGGGAACCCCTGGGGTTTCAGTGGGTAACTGTGAAAGGGGCCAAGAAAGGGGTAGCAGAAGGGAGCTGAAGCAATTGATTTGCTCCTGAGGCCGGAAGGGAGACCGTCACTGCCGTCGGGGAGCCAGAGTGGCCAGGGAGGGACTGGCCACCCCAGCTCCCTGGGGTGAAAGGGGCAGAGACAGACAGAGAGACAGACTGACCGGCAGACAAACGGGTGCTCGCCCTCAGAAGCCGACGCTTCAGAACTGTAAATGCGGTAGTCATCGGAAACAAAAGCCAGGACAGAGTTCATTTCTCTGAAGGGAAGCAAGGTTAGAGACAGTTAAAATGGCAGGATTTCCTGGGTGATGCTTTTTATACCATTCTTTTCTACACCCTAGAAAATGACAAAGGCCCCCGCGTCCCCCCACCCCACCCCCGCACAAACCTGTTAGCCAAGCAAAGCTGTGCTCCCACTGAGGGTTTCACAGCTCTCCCTGGGCGCCCGCAAGGAGGCACTAGCTATGGTGGTGATAGAATAGGGGCCATTCCACGTGGCATTTCTCTCTCGAGTCTATGAGCTTCTCGAGGTCAGGAGAGACTCTAGTCCTCTGCCTAGTCCTCTCCTGGTGTACTTAACACAAAGCCAGATATCTCACATGGATCCTGACATAAGGATCACCGAGTAATAGAAAGCATGTCTTCGTGGTATGGGTGTTACGACATGGAGACGTTCTTCAGGTGATACTCTTTTATCTCTGTGATACATGCCAAGGGCCCGAGATCAAAACTTCACTCAAGAAGTTGCAGAGGTGGCTGAGGGAATGTGGGTCAGAGATGCCGCTGTCTGAGCTCTACGTCTCATCACTCATGGAATCAAGGGTCATGCACCTGTCCCCAGGCTGCCCACTCAGATGCTGCGATAACTTAAGGGCAAGAAAGCACTTGTTAAATTTCAGTCAATTCATGCTTGAACTCTTTGATGAGAATTTCTCATTGACACATAGCCTGCAGCAGCACCTACCATGGGGACCTGCTCACAGGAGACAGGTAACCGAAACTCGTTACAGTAAATCTGAGTCCTTGGCGTGCAGATTAGATGCTGTGTGATATGGGGACCTGCTGTGGAAGTGGCAGGGGGGGTACCCACTGTAAAAACTTGGGAGCTTGTTTGTACTTTAGCCAAGGGCCACATCCTGCTTCATGTGACCATCTCCCCATTCACCTGTCCATCCATCAGAGTAGTCACGGAATATCATGAAGTGCCAGGCACCAGGCCAGGTTTGGGGGAAGGAGAGGTGAACAGGGCTCTATCCCTGCCCTCAAAGAGCTCGCTGTCTAGTTTAAGATAGAAAAGGAATCAAATATTATCATCATGCTGTAATGGAGATGCTCAGATGCCTAGCATACAGTGGGAGGCCAGGAGAGGCTTCACAGAGGAGGGGGCGCTTGAGTCTGAAAGATAAACCAGTAGAAGTTTAAACAGGTAGTCAAGAGGGAAGAAGAAAGTGTTGGGTGGGCCAAAAAGTTCCTTTGGGATTTTCCATAAGATCTTATGGAAGAGCCCGAACAAACTTTTTGGCCAGCCCTACATTTTAGGCAAAACTCTAATATAAAAAAACTTCAGTGGTATTTGCAGAGGCATGAAATTTTGAAAAAGCACAGAAAAGGCATTTAAGCGGGCGAGTGACATGCTTGGGCATAAATTTCAGGAAAATGATCCTGTTACCCTTTTTAAGGATGGTCTGGAAGGAGGAGAGACTAGAGACAGGGGGACACTTAGGGCACTATTGCAACTGTCCCTTCGAGAGACGATGGCGGCTACACAGGGGCAGTGTGGGGTGGACGGCGGAGGGGTCCAGGTCAAGGGATGTTCACGAGGGAGAATCAACAGGTGAGAAACTAGATGACGCAGGCGGAAGAGAAGGAGTTGTCGAGGATGCCTGAAGTTCCCATCGGTGCCCACTGGGTGGTTCTGAAATGTGGCCCCACTCACCAAGATAGGAGGAGCCACAGGCTGGACAGAAGACGATGAGCTGAGATCAGGCCAGGCTGGGTTTAAGGTATTCGTCAGCTGTCCACATGTAAGTGGCCCAAGACCAAGTGAAGTGCAGGCAAGGTGCAGGGCAAGTGGACACAAAACTCCTAATGAAACCCTGTCGCTGGCTGGTCTCCTGTGGGGAGACACAGCTTGGACAACTGGGTTGTCCAACTAGAGAACAGGCTGCCACACGGCAGGAGAGCTGCCCATCACCGGCAGGGTGACCAGGTGACAGGGCAGAGGGAATTCCTACACTGGTGATGCAGCTGAAGAAGGGGATTCCCAAAGTTCCTTCCAATGCAGAGAAGCTATTTAAAAACATTTTTTAAAAACAGTGGTGAAATACACATAATATAAAATTTACCATCTTAACCATTTTCAAGTTTACAGTTCAGTAGCATTTAAGTATATTCACATTGCTGTGTGTACAGAAGTTTGGAAATAAAAGCCGACAGCTGTCTCCTGTCCTTGGAACAAGGCAGGCTCTAAAGAAGGAAGTAAGCAAATAGCAAAGGCACCACAATGGCACCAAGCCCCATTCACTGAGGAGTTCTTCAAACACAACCCTCATCTGCCCTCAAATTTGTTTTCCTCCAGCTTCTGCTCTGCAAAGTCATTTTTTTCCTTTGGGAAACACCCCCTCCCATTTTCCTGGGTGGTGGGTTGTTTTTGTTTTTGGAAACTTCCTTCTCTGCAGATCTTGGCCTTGGCTCTGAAGCAAGGAAAGGAACATAGAATGTCTGCGAGAGTAACAAGAGGACAGCCTACTCGGGCATAAAGCAAACTGCCAAGGATTCGTAACTAACCATAAACTTTGCTGCGCTGCTATAAATACGGAACAAACCAAGGTGACTTATCCACTAGGATGATGTCCAGAGTCTGAACTGCACCACTAAGGTTTAGAGCCAAAGTCGAACCGCTCTGTTTCTTCCTTTCTCTCTTTCTTCCTCTTGTTTACACGGGTACAGAACATTACACTTCATTCTTCTTTCTAAAAGGAACTCTCCTTGCTGTCTGTGATGTTATTCATCTGATTTCTGACAGGATACTTCCTTTTGCCTCTTAACACACTAATGTGTTGTCTAAAGCATGTGCAATGTTTCTTAAACATTTTGAAAATACTGTAGCCCACCCTGGGTATCTGTGGATACAACCAAGCACAGATCGAATTAAATCCGGGGATACGAAGGGCCAACCATGCTTAGCCATTTTACATGAGAGACTTGTGCATCCATGGATTCCGGTATCTGTGAGGGTCCTAGAACCAATCCCCCTTGGGTGCCGAGGGACGACTGTGCTCACTGAAGACACCACCGCAGTTTTTTCTCCAAGTACAGACTAACCTTCCCTTCTTGCCTTGGGCAATGGAGGGCCACCAGACTCTCAGGGAGGCCAGCTGCCTCTGAAAACCCAGCAGAAGGTGGCTTCCTGCCAGCAGGAAGGGGTCCCCTACTTAAGTGAGGTGCTAGGGGCTGAACTTTTTCAACTGTTCGCCCCACTTGCAAAGCACAGCCGCTAACTCGATTCTGTGAGCCATCTACTGTTGGCTCACCTGGCAAAGACGTGGCAAGGAAGGCTGCATTTGCATCACCATTATTTGCTACTTTTAACATTTCACTGCAAAATAAAAAGTGCCCCAGGATGATACATCTTTTTATGTCTCACGGAGGAGTTTCAGAAAGAGCCGATGTGCAACGCCTAGGGGTGAGTAGGGCTAGAAATTACTTAAATCGAACCGGGCTTGAGGAAGTGAATTCTCAGCTGAGTTTTAATAAACTTAAATAGCCATCTGTGTGTGGCTGTATTGGCCTGTGAAGCTCTAGATGCTCTAATTCCACGGTGGGGAAGGAAGATGGAATTATAGACCACAGAAGGAAGGTCTGACCTAGGACCTGTAATCAGGCTTCTCAGAACCCGCATTTGCCCAAACTCTGTTCTCCTTTCACCAAAGTGACAGAGCCCCACAGTGTGACGATGAAGGCTGATAATGTGCTATTTGCCCAGCTGGCCTGGAGGTCCCTGAAAGCAAAGGCTTGTCTAATTCACCTTCACATTCCCTCAATGAGCAGCAAAGGGTGTACAAAGTGTGCTGCAGGACTCGGCAGTGAGCGTAGCCCTTTAAGACGTCCATATACCACTGGACAGAATTCATCTCTCCTCCAGCCAGCACCTGGAAATGTACAGTATCTGTGCTGTCCAATATGGTAGCCACTACTTATGTGGTTCTTTAGCACCTGAGATGAGGCTTGTGTGACTAAGGAAATGAACTTAAATTTTATTTTATTTTAAATAATTTCAATCTGAATAGCCACACATGACTAGTGGCTACTGTACTGGACAGGGAAGGTCCAGAAGCTCCACAATTCCATGATGGATTTGCAAACCACAGCAGGAGGATCTGACACGAAGGGTGTGACTGGGCATCCCAGAGCCCTCGGTCAGTTCCCTAAACCCTCCTTCTCCGTTTACCAAAGCAACACAGCCCCTGACAGACTCAAACTGGCTCAAGTCATGCGTGTCTGCACTCCTGCCCTTGTAGACCTAGAACTGCAAAACCAGCGTCACGCGAAGGAACTTACACCCTTGCACTCTAACCTCAGCGAGGCTGCAAGTTGGAGCAAGGGATAGTGATCGTTTCAACAAAAGCATCATCCAAGCTCAGGTCACAAGGAAATAATGAGCAGAGGATTATTTAATCAGAGGTGTTAAGAACACAAAAGCTGGAAACTATGTTTGCTGTGGTCAGGGACAGCAGAGAAGTAGCAACTTCACACTTAAGTGTGAAGTGAGATCTGTGATTCACCTGTGATGCCTACAGTACAATCGGGATGCGTTTAATGCTTTAATCCTAGTAGCTAGAGTGGTAAAAATTTACAGATTAACTGAAGTGCCTTCTTGCTAATCCTTTGCTATTAGGGGAAGCATTATATGTTTCTATATTTTGGGCACAGCATGGGACTTAACTGAATGGATACTCAATGACCATGGTTGACTTCCTAATAGATGATCCATTCCTATAATACTTTATGTCATTTAATTTACGATCTATGTCTTGTCCACTTCAAAAAAATGATTTGAGATCGCTTACTCTAAAATGTGCAGATATGGTAGAACAGTGAATTCATTAAAACAAGAGAAAAAATAAGACCCATTAATAAAGCAAGGAAGGAAGAGTAGGGACTAGATCAGAAACCTGAGCTATGGGAAGCTAATGCAATTGAGCCTGGCATGCAGCTCTGAGCTCCCTGGTAATCAAGTCAAACAGGGAACTACTGAATTAGATATTATCTTACTGAATAATAAAAGGACTCAAGCCAGTATGTTAGGAGAGACATATTTTCTCCTGACCTTGAAATGTGAAGGGCGTTTGTCACATTAAAAAAGGAAAGTGGGGACATAAAAGAATTTGATGCACACTGTCCTTGACAAAAATTTAACAAAGAAAATCAGAGATGTTCTCCGAGTGTTTTTTCTTTATACTGACTATTCATTAAAAACAAAAAGAACAAAAACCCGAGGACATAATGTGGTTCTGAGAAGGCTTTCTGTGGACAGCTAGAAAATAAGCACATCTCCAGTGATGGGGAATCCTGCAGTGGTCAAACTCTGACAATCGAGAGAAATACTACTATAGTTAACATGTCTACAACCTCTGGAGTATGAAATGGCTTAAACTGGGCTTTGCTCGTGAACTGGCGAGAACACTATTCAGGAGAGCTAACAAGCGTGTGGACAGTATGTCACTGTTGTTGACAAAAAGCAGGGCAAGCTCTTGACCCCAGGCACACAGCCTGTCTTCCTGCCGGGGAAGGGAGAGCGTGATGATGTTCTTGGCCTGGCAGACAGCACCCCGGGGAGCTGGCTGCAGGCTCCAGCCCTTGCCTCCTTTTAAACGGCCATCGGGCCTGAGCAAATTCCTCAACAGCTCAAACAAGCAGACACAAAGAAAGAGAGGAACACAAGTTTCTTACTCTCGGTGTGGGCTTCGGTTCTGAGAAATCTCAGAATCGCTGTCTTTAGGGGACATGGAGCCCTTGTAGGTGTAAAACACATCTTCAGTTTCAGTGATGTACGTCATTTCGTTCACAAGGTTGTCTGCGGAAGAGTGTCGTGGCTTTCGGATTTCGTGCCGGAGTCGAGGACTTCGCCTGGTGGGGAAAGGTTCAGTGTGAAGTGCTGAAAGCAGATTCTACTTAGGAATTTTATCAGACACCAGTGATCTAACTTTGTGCTCTGACCTTTCGAAGGATGCCTTTGCTGATGCTGTTGGAACTTAAGAGCCAGTTAACCCATTACTACACTAGAATCTACCAAGGGCCACGTGGTCCCAGATATTCTTAGCCCAGCGGTTCAGCTCCTCAGCTTTGTAAACAGGGCAGATGAGACTGGTTTTTGCTCTCTGGGAAGTCATTGAGTGTTGATTTAGGGGGAGTTATTCTTCCAGGAGGACTCAAGCTCGCAATGTGTAAACAGGCTTTATTGACTGCTCATCAGACAATTTTTCTGATTCATTTGTATGGTACAAGTAAGGGTTTAGAAGCTAAAGTAAGTTTTTCGGCAGACTTATTTCAACTACATCCCCTCATGCGAATCTCACTTGATCCAAGAAGAAATGTTTGCTTTTTAAAATGTATCTCTTATGGGGCTTCCCTGGTGGCGCAGTGGTTGAGAGTCTGCCTGCCGATGCAGGGAACACGGGTTCGTGCCCCGGTCCGGGAAGATCCCACATGCCGCGGAGCAGCTGGGCCCGTGAGCCATGGCTGCTGAGCCTGCGCGTCCAGAGCCTGTGCTCCGCAACGGGAGAGGCCACAACAGTGAGGGGTCCATGTACCGCAAAAAAAAAAAAAAAAAAAAATAAAAAATAAAAAAAAAAAAAAAAAAAATATATATATATATATATATCTTATGTGGTATTAGATGGGCATAGCCCCAGCACCACCCTGTCCCTCCAATAGCAGCAGTAGCTGTGTAACATGAGGCAAGTCACACCACCTCTCTGAGCCTCAGTTGTACCTACCTGGCTCCTGAAAATGAATCAAATGAAGCAATGTCCCCAGGATGCCTGGGGTGACACCTGGGGCAGCACCTGGGCATCGGCTCCTGCAGTGGGTGATCCCAGGCTGCTGAGCTTTCTAAATTTCATTTTCCCTGTTTTTCCATCTTCCGCTTCTTTGTTAGCCATTTCTCCTTGGGACTGTCAGAGCCTCCACTATTTGCAATCCCCCCGGGCCCCGATAATCAATAACACTGTGTCCAAAGCAGAGTGGAAAGGTCTGTGATTCCTCAGAAGAGGACCTATAAATAGCAGTAAGAGCTATAGTCCACTGGCGTGGCAACGTCACCTCCAGCTGCTCTCCTGGACGCTGTCCTGGCCTCTGTTCTGGGGCCCTGGCACTGCTGCCTAAGAGACTTTCAGACAAATTAAGCTGCCACGTTATAGCATAAATTTACTACTGTAGGATGAGTGCCTAAATCTAGGAAACCAAGAACCAATCTATTCAGTCATGTTATGATTTCCAACACTAAACACCATCACCATCCCTGCCCAGAGCATTAGGCCCCAGTGGAGGGCCCTTACCCAGCGGCCCTGCACAACAGCTCCTTTTTTGGCCTGCATGTTAGAATGCCCCTTAGTCCTGGTAGCTCACTCTTTGAGAATTTACAGGTGCACCCTATCATGCAATGAACAGAAAGCCATACCCTTATTTCAGGGTGGGGCTGGGGCAATGTTCCTGGCTTGGTTTCCCCTTCTGATGATGCCTGGCTCTTTTGAAGCCATTCACAAAATGGCCTGATGTCTTTGAGGAACATTATAATAAAATAACAATAACAACAATAACAAAAACAACAATAATAATTCTACCTGATCCTTTTTGTATAGCTTACAAAGCACTTGTACATTATGTCATTCAATCCCTTTACAGATGGAAAGACTGAGACCAGAGAGGTAAACAAACTTGTTAACGAACAGGAGAGTCAAAATCTGAGTCCGGGTCTTCCAGTTACAAACCCAGTGCCCTTCCCACTTTGCCAAACTGCCACTTCCTTCTTTTTTTTTTTTTTTTTTTTTTTGCAGTACGCGGGCCTCTCACTGTTGTGGCCTCTCCCGTTGAGGAGCGCAGGATCTGGACGCGCAGGCTCAGCGGCCATGGCTCACGGGTCCAGCCGCTCCACGGCATGTGGGATCTTCCCGGACCGGGGCACGAACCCGTGTCCCCTGCATCGGCAGGCAGACTCTCAACCACTGCACCACAAGGGAAGCCCTGCCACTTCCTTCTTTTTAAGCTGAGTCCATCATCTTAAAAGTTGGCAGGCTACTTTCCTATGTGCATTTGCTACTGTTGCTGAGGGTCACACGTCCTTACATCAGTTGTATTACATACCTTTACTATGTTTTCTCAAAGTTTATTTTGTTTGACATTATGGGAAATGTGAGATTAAATAAAGTTAAACATGCTTCTTTATCACAGGACTTCTCAAAACCTGAATATGCTAATTTCAAGAGCAGCATTTCAGTAAGCTGCAGTGCTCAAATTTATTTAGACCAAATAACTTTTTAAAAAAGAACATCCCAGCGTCATACACTAAAGAAAATGTTTAGCTAGACTTGTGCATTTCACAAAAATAGTTACTTCTGCAACAAACATGCAAATGTAAACTCTGACCATAGGCCACCTGTAGTTATGTTTTTATTTTTATTGAGTTTTTAAAAGAAGTAAAGTGTTTACTGGTAGGTAATACCAAAAAAGGAAGACATACCAGTTGGGAGTAATAGGAGGAGACCGAGACGGTAGACTCTTGGTTTCTAAATGTTCCACTGATAAAGATCTCTGCATGGCCGGGTTCCAGACCATCCCTCCAATCACTTTTTTGCAATACTGGTTATTTACAGACCTGAAAAACCAGATGTAGGTTCACTTTCTACACTGACATATTCAACGAGAGAGAAGTGACAGCATAAGTGAAACATGTCTACACACACTCCCTCCCTGACGGATGACTGGTTAACACCTTGATGACCCCAGCAGAGGTTACCAGGAGTGGAGGTACACGGGTCAGAAGGGATTCCTTTCTGTCCTAGCTTTTCCTTATGTGATTTCTTCTCTTCGGGTGAAAAAATATTTTCTTGCCCTTACTATTTCAACCAACAAAACTGCTTTCAGAATATAACCAAGCCTTACCAGATAGAAGGAATTTCAGGATTAACATTGAAATACAGTTCAAGTAACTTCAAGGAATGCTCACTTTACTCACACTGGCATGAGTACAAACATTAACCATGCTTCCCAGTGTTCTTTGTCATCCTAGCTGGCAGAGACCGTCACTGTAAATCACTCAGAACTCTTTAAGAGCAGACCTGAGAAAATATGCTTAGACAGCAGAGTTTCAGGCCATGTTCTCTGAATGTGCCACCCTGAAGGTTACTTTCAAATTTTATTTATACCTAGAGAATTTAAATCTCAGCTCTCTAGACCCTTCAGAGAATGAATTATTTGAGAGGATGGAGTTTGAAGCCAGTTTTGGGGAAACTCAGTTCTGGCATTTCTAAATTTTAAACAATGTTTTAATGTCTCATTAAAACATTCCACGCAATTCCTTGTAGCCTAAAACCATCAACCCAACAAAAAAACAGGACAGAAAAACCACAAGAACATAGGTAACACGAAGCACACCCTCTAGAATATCAATGTACTAATTTTCAATGAGAAGTACGGTTGTCACCCTGATCAAAATGCTCACAGAAGCATCACCACGAGAATCTACATCAGAAACCAAATTACCGTTGATTGAGAGCACATCATCGGAATAAGGGGAGCAAGCTGGTTGATTCAAAGGTTTAATGTAGCAGCTCCCCAAAGTATGCGTCACAGGTTATTAATAGGTACTCTTTGGAAAAAGAAGTGATCCACTGTCCCATAAGCTTGGAAAATACCGAATAAGTTTCAGAGGGCCCAATATGCAAATGTATAGCGGTATCTCTAGGGGTTGGGCAAATCACGTAACCTAAGCCTCAGTTTCTCCATCTATGAAATGGAGAGAATGAGGGATGAGATTTGCCAGTATGCTGAAGCTGGTATTGGTGGTCAAGAACTGCTGACCTGTGGCCACTGAGCCACCCACCATGTCCCAAGTGACCCCTAGTGGCAGATTAAAAATGGCTGCAAGTTCTCTGACTCTTGAACCCAGGCTGGCCTGTGACTGCTTTGACCAAGAGTAGCTGTGCCAGGTATGGGCCTAGCCTTTAAAATGACCGGCCACCTCTGCCTTAGGCTCTTGCAGTCCTGAGCCTCTGTGTAAGAAATCCAACTACCCTGTGAGAGGCTCTGAGAACACACAGAGACGGTGGGGGTCTAGATGAGTCCAGCCTTCTGATCATTCCATCAAAGGCACCCGGTGTGGGAGAGAAGTGGTCCCGGACCCTCAGCCCAGCCCGGCCACCAGCTGCATCTCACTGAGAAACCCTAGTCTACATACTGCACGGAGAGGAAGGATCATCTGGCCACGCCCTTCCCGAATGCCTGACCCACAAGATCTTGAGATATAATATAATGGTTACTGCTTTAAGCCACCAAAACAGGGGTAGTTTTTTCTGCCACAATGGAGAAACAAACAAACAAAAAAATCTTCCGTGTTGTTTGCATTTTACAGATGAAGAAATTGAAGAAGCAAATTAAATTAAAACTGATGTAGATCAGATTTTAACCCAGCCTTCTGTAAGACAGTCCAAGCTTTTAGTTGCTCTCAATGCCACTTCTCAGCTCACCAAGAGGATTAAGTCCAACTAAAGTAAATGCTACATTCCAGCAAGTTATGTTTACGGCATGTTCAGAATAGAGCTACTGAATGTGTAAAAATACTGGACAGTATTAGAAGACAAAATCTTGGAAAATATATTTGCTCTTGGTTCATCAGAAGCTTAGCGCACTTAGCACCATAAATATCAATATTATCACTGATACTAACAGACATTTACTACTTATTCAATTGAGAAAGCTATCAACTGATTACCATGTAATAGGAAAGTCACTGGAATAGTCTGATACAGTCCCACATATCAGATAATGGCTCAGACAGGGGCACCAGTTTTAGTAACAGCCGTATCAGTTAAAATAAAAATCACAAAAATAACTCTTCCAACCAATTTAGAAAATAATTTGATATGGAATTTCTGCTACATCTTATATTTAGAAGGCAAGTATTTATAATACATCTTGTATTCTACATCTTAGAATAAAAACATATACAAAAATATAAACTGCATGAGAACACACTGTAATCTAAAAGTTTAAAATGTATAGATTTATTTACTAGTCATTAAGTATTTTAAATATCATTCCTACGGATAATAGCACACATGGAATTGCTGTAAGAATTAAACATGTAAAATAAAAAGAATGAAGCGTAACGAAGTATGTGCATGGAACAAAGTAAGCACTCAGTAGTCGTCGACCGTAATTATTACTGTTACTATCTTGTGATTAGTGGATGTAGTATATGCCAAAAAGTCACCTGACTCTGGAAATCTTTATTTCTGCTCATTCGTTATTATAGAGCGTCTTATGGAATTGCTGTTCAGTGGGAGAGGCTGTCTTAATGGCACCAAGGTGACCCTTAGTCACAGCCTTGTGCTTCCCTTGGCGTGACATGACGGAGCTAGCTGTTCCAATGCTGGCTGCTTGGGGGCTCTGAGTGTTACAGAGTTGAGCAGGCAGAAGCAAGTGACAGGAATAGGAGAAGTGCCTGCGTGTGTGGAAAGACACACTGCGGCCCCAGCAGACTTTCACCCATGGTTCTAGACCCACCAGCAGCTCTGGCCCCAGGGCCTGGGGCCCCTGGGCAAAGACGTCCCTCCCCCTGAGGATGTTTACTCCCCAGGGGTGACCAGGACATGTTTATTTCTCAGCCTAGCGTGGAGACTGTCCCTAAAGCATATACTCACTTTTTGGGGTTCCTAGAGCCCAGAGTCCAGTACTGAGACAGAACATTCTTTTCCTGAGGTAGTAGCTTCTTTGCCTGAAAGAATGTATGGTGCTCGACACAGGACTTCCATAAGTTTTTGCAAGATCGGTAATTTAACATGTTGAAGGCCACTATGTGTTCCCTGGATTCAGTCTGGGAGGAAAAACACAGTAGAGATTTCATCTACACAGATGTAGGAGCAGGGTCTCAAGCATTCTATGCCCACATCGGTGGTTATCAAGTAAGAGACAATGCACAGCAGAAAACCGGTTTCAAAATTCCTTAGGCCACAGAAACAGGGTTCTAAGAATATTCAGCAGCAGGATTTGTTACCCATCCTTATGAACGTGGTAATAAAGACGCCCAGAGTCTACCCTTCATCATCATCCATGGTCTTTCATGAACGCTTTCATTTCACACCTGCCTACATTTCTAGGTCGGATATATTTGGAGCAACCGGATAAGGGCTGTCTGATACATTCCTTTCAAAATTTAGCTCTGGGAAAAATCTCTCCCCTGAAGAAATCATCTTTCACCTATCAAATGACGGGAATCTTATAATGCTTTGGGTTTCTCTATTTGCTTTCCACAAAGAGAGTCAGATCTAGTGCTCGCTTATAATAATCATTTTGATCATTTGCTCTACCTCCATTCTACCTGAGTTCAGGTTTTCTGTTCTCATGTTAAATGACCATCCTGTGCATTTTTACGGCACCTTGAATTTCGCATCTGGGGCTCGGGAGACCCAGATTCTAGTCCTAGTTTTCTCTGAGCTTTAGTGCTCTCAGCCCTAAGAGTTTATTGTGATGTGGAGCCATTTTAGGTACATGTTATCTTTGGAAAATTGGGAAATGACGTAGTGACAGTAAGTGAAAAATATACAGCCTGACAAGACAGAGTGCGGTGTCGTGGGAAGAGCGGGCATCTCAGATTCATAACGACCGGTTCAAATTCCAGCTCCTCCACTTCACTAGCTGTGGGTTCTCTCACCTCTAAGTTGCTCTTCTCCATGTGGAAAACCAAACTGAGTTATCTGGAGAGCTACAGACTCCTCCTATGAGACATATACGCAAGGCCACCGTGCATTTTAAACACATCAAGGGAAGGAACTGACCTCGCTGACTTTTATTGCTACTCTGCAGTGGGCTCGGCCAGGTGCTTTGACCAATGGCACTTCTATCTAAATCTGATGATTCCCTGAGAACTGGGCATTGTTGCCTTCCTGTAACTCAGACTACAGGAGGTTACGTAACCCGCCCAACTGGTGAGTGGAAGAGCTAGGACCTGAACCCAATGTCTCTGACTGCAAAGCAAGTGACTTCCTCAGCCACATAAGCAGAGTGAATTACATAGAAGACTGCGGGGCCCACCGGATCCTGATGCCCACTTTCTTTCCACAGCTTGCAATGCTCTTTCTTCCCTGTTACACGTACGACAAATTCCTTCACCTGCTGAAGGACTAAGAGCTGAACTGGCTAAAAACACAAGAACCAAAGCAAGCACAGGTACAACTCACCTGTTTTTGTCGCTGATGTATAAAGAATTTTTTCCTTTTGAAAGAAATTTTTAGAATGTTCACCCTGCAAAAAAAGTAAAACACAACACAAAAGAAGCACATCAGGGAGCAGCCAGGTTGCAGCTGGCGCCTCTCGGCGTGTGTTCTCTAGTCCACGATCATGATGGCTGGGGGCTCTCGGCTTCCTAGACTTTGCTTCAGCGCAGAACGGATGGTGGCCCCATCACCTCGGCCAAACACTAAGTAGCTGACTGAAGCTGAGTGGCACATCAGGGCCCCTGGTTTATGATGTAGCTCTTAAATAACAAGGACCATGGGCAATGCGCTCTCTGCTGTCAGCTGCTTTTGTGATTACTGCAGCTCTGCTAGGGCTGGTGTGTACCTGGGGAAGACAGCTGAGGGCAGTGTGGAGCAGCAGGAGGAGGACACACGGACCTGCGTCCGCATCCCAGCTGCTTCGCAAACTTAACAGCCACTTAATAGCCGTGTGTCAAGTAGCCTCTCTATTGTTTGCATAGTAACACAATTATAGTCACCATTAACAGCATTTTTTATACTTAAAGCTTTACAAGCAGCCCCTCTACTAAGCCTTGCAATACTCCTGAAAAGTACGTATCATTATATCCAGCTTTCAGATGAGGAAACTGAGGCTGGGAGACAGCACTTAAGTGCTCAAGATCATTCAAGCCAGGAATGCTTGGAGCCAGCATCTGAGCTTGTGCTCGTAAGTCCTCCACCATGGAGCCCTTCTGAACAGTGGGGACAGCACTGCCTTTCTCAGATTTGTCAGGATTCAAGTCTGCTGGATCCCCCGAGTTTTTAGACCAGAACTGGGCACTTGATAAAACTTCAATTAGTAACTAAGGAACTGCCCTGAAAATACAGCTCCTGCCCAGAGGAAGTTCTCTGAATCCTGGCTAATGTGCCACCCAGGAAGGATTCCTTAACTCCAAAACCTGCCTTGTGTTGTTTTATGCAGGTTTCACACGGTATCCCAAACCATAGGGTGACTGGGGAAGAAGGGGATGCGATAAAAACCAAACTAATTTTCCCAAGTACTGAATCTGGATTAATTGTACAGGTCAGAGGTAAAAACTTGGGAGAAAGTCTCTGTCCCTTCTTTAGAAAGAAAAGTTTAAAATTAGAGGTACCATTACTTTTGTTCAGCATATTTTTAAAGCACGGTTCAGAAAATAATTAGAACCGGTTTGCACTTACCAAGGATAGAAACTTGTGCAAATATATTTTCGGTACACAGCGATGCCCACAGAAGCAATTCCAATCATTAGATCTAAACTGTGCAGATCCTGTAAAAAGGAAGATCTCAGATTCACAGCGTGTTACTGTCATGCTTATGCCCTCCAGTAACTTAAGCACCCACGCTTTTATAAATAGCACTACATGTAAGCTCCAAAAGGAAAATTACAGAAAACAGGCAAAAATCTCCTCTTAACAGATACTTAAGATCCAAGTACTTAGCACCAAATTCTTCCAAGGTGAAAATACATTGCCTGACAGCAACACCTGGGTTCTGCCAGTTTACAAAGTTACCACCAGGCAAGCTCACTCATTCCACAGAATCATAGAAATGAATATTTGCCTTTACATCTTCAACAATTAGTATCAGACACCATATTGAAATCAGAAAAGCCTCGTCCCCCGCACAGCTTTAAACAAATCTCAACTCCCATCACTGAAAAGGCTTTAGCTATTAATATGGAGTGTAGAACTGCTGATTCTAAACCCAATGAAAAATAAAATATGGCTTATAAGTCCAATATAGTCAACATTTATTAAGAGCCCATGTGCTAGGCATTGCCATAGATAATGAAGGTAATAAAAGGAAGATACAGCGACTACAAGATGTAGGCCATTAAATCCATTTGAGAATGAAAATTTTAAAATAAACAGTGCCTTCCCTTGAGTCATCTACATCCCTACTTACCCAATCAGATACTCGTAATTTTAAAGAAGGGGCAGAGTTACCACTGGATGTGAACCTTAGGTTTGCCGCTTACTAGCTGTGTTGGTTTGGGCTACTGGCCTCAGTTTTTCCTTTTGTACAATAAGGACTGTCGAACCCACCTCAAAGAGTCTTATCAAGCTGAACTTAGAGAATATAAGAACGTATTGGCATGCGGTAGGTATAAAAAACGTTCATCCCCTTCGCCTCTCAAGAGATAGTGGGACAAATCATTTATGAACGTGATGCGAACACGGGGAGTGGGAGAAACTGGCCAAAACAAACACTGCTTCTCCCGTTGTGGAAAGTCCAGCGAGTAATCACTATTGGGCCCCCAACTGAAATCACATGCTTAAAGCAAAACCAAATTGGCAAGTTGAAAACCAGGGTTGCATTAAACGTGATACTCGGGATCAGAATATAGGGAAATATTAAGCAGGTGGGATAGAAAATTAGCAAACAAAATAAAACTCAAGTGCAGAATGAGGAAATAAATGAATGCTTTGTGTGGGCCAGTGACGTGGGTCTCAAATCTCCTGGTTCTGTGGCCATCACGGTAGCATGGACAGTCACTGTTCGCTCAATTGCCATGCCCATCTCCAAACCTCCCAGCTTGCGGAGCAGGACTGTATGATTAGCTGAGGAACAGCTTTGCTCAACAGTTCATTGGCTGATGAACAACGAGCAGAAGTGATGAGTCCCCTCCGGGCCGAATCATTTAAGAGCTGGTGTGCAGCCCTCCGACTTCCTCTTCCCTTGGGACAAGCATGAGGCCACATGTGAAGATGGTGAAGCCACCAGACAGAAGCAGCCTAGGCTGCTGAATCACTGCACGGAGGAGCGCTGCCCTGGAGAGCCACCGGGACCCATACAGCCTTTGAACTACTGAGAAATAAGCTCTGTGATATCAAGTTACTGATTTTCAGGGGGTTTTGGTTGATGCAGCACAGCCAAGGGTAACCCAACTCCCTCTGATACCACAGGGGTGTCAGGCAGACAGGTAATCAACTGGCATCAGGACCTTCATGAGACCCTGGGGGTGGGGGGAGCACAGATCAACTCAGGCAGATGTAAAGCCCACTTCACCATTGAAGAAAGGGCTCCACAACGTTCTACCAGACAAAACAGTATTTGCAAGTGGAATAAAAATTAAGTCAAGTCCCAAAGATGATGTTTTGTAAGATCCGTGTCTTTTTCCTACTTTATTACCTATGTTATATCCTGTACACTGCACAGTTAGGGGATTGAAGTAAGAGAAAAGAAATGAAAGTGTTTCTACGAATTGCAAAAATATTATTTAAATGTAAACTTTGGTAATTTTCTCAACTTCCCTGAGCCTCAGTTTTCTCACCTGTAAAATGGGGGTGATTAGAACACATTTCCCAAGGCTGCTACAATCTTTAAATGAGACCTTATGGTCACATATGAAAGCATCTGGAACAATGGCTAGTATGGACTAGGTGTTCAACCAATATTTGCTTCCTCTGGATATGATGTGGCCCAATTACAGGTAGAAAATGTAAAGGTCAGATGTCAATTAGACAGTGCTGGGGTCACACACTGAAGCCATTACTTATGTGCTACCTGACCTGTGATAAGTCCCTGAGTATCAGTTTCTCCATCTGTAAAATGGAGGAAACGACAACACTTACCCCATGGCATTACAGCGGGAAGTAAATAGGGACTGTCTGGCAGTTAGAAACGGCTCAACAGATGATAGATACTCCTCAGTTTTGTTTAAAAAGTCACAACCAATTCAAAATACTTGATTTTCATAAACATGCCATCATAATAGAAAACTAGCATATTTGAGTACATAATTAGCTCTAATTTGAGCAGCACTGAGATTAAATAGTAGAAACCCTGGCTCATTAAAGAGCCCCTTGGAAAACGGAACTCTATACATGGTCCTACAAAAATTCCTTGTTTCTAACCCCTGTGAACCCCCCCAAAGTAAAAAGCCTTCAAGTATGACAGCAAACACGAAAAAATCCAAGTGGATAAATAACCAGCAAAACTCAATATTACTTTATAAACCTTTCAGGTATCTTTAAAAAAAAAAAAAAAGGTCTTTTTATTATACTGGAAAAGAGATAGTTTCAAAGAAGCTTTCAGATGTTCAGAAATTAAAATAAACATAACTTTTGAACTACACCATGCTGAGGGTACCTACCCTACCACTGTGCAGCTCCACTCCATAGAAGTCGAGGGTCCGTGCTATGTTGATAAAGCAAGATTCTGCTTCCGACTGCTTCAGCCCACTGCAAAGGCAGACAGAAGATGCAGAGTTCACCCAGTAAACAGAATCTTAACTCCGATTTTTAAAATTAACAAAAAGCTAAAAATATTGATACCATTACTATAAGGTTATTAAATGCCTTATGTTTTTCATCTTAAACAATCAAAACCCAAATGCTAGTAAACCACGTTTTTCTTCTTGTCCACTGAATATGACTTCATCTAGCCCTCTTGTTCCTCTATTAAAAACTACCTCACATTTAGTAGGTTCTCAATATTCAGAGATAAAGACTGTCACCTTCTGGAATTCCCACCCTACCTTTTCCAAGTCCCTAAAGTAGTACGTGCTCTTTAGGTCTTTCTGCCTTTATCTATCCTTTTAGCAGCAGCCTCAAACTTCCAAACGTCACTGTACTATTTTAGGATGCTGGCTCCTGCCTGGACAGCAATTCTGGGAGAGGATTGGCAGTGCCTTTTTGAAGGGACACTGGTTGCTTAGGCCTTTGTTTCTATGGCCTTCCTGAGAATGTAAGGTCCCTTGAGACCTGGCCTTCTCGGTCAGGGTGGCCCTTATTTGACCTGGACTGAATGGAGCCACTGCAGCTTTAAGTGAAAGGAGGCAAGGGAAGGGGAGGCCAGAATTGGGCGAATCTGCTGGAGTGGAGGCTTGGCCCGAGGCAGCTGCGGAAGGGTGGTGCTCCCTTCTGGAAGGAAGGTGGTTTTCCCAACTGAACCCAGAGAGGACGGGGATTCACCCAGCCTGTCAGCACCTATGTCTGTCTGCCTGTCTATTCAAAACCACCTGAAGGAACGGCTCGTTTCATTAAATATGGGAACCTGTTAAAAGGTTTGCCTGGTAGGGTCAATCTGTGGGGCAGTCAGATTTAAAATGGGCATTTCCTCCAGGAACTAACGGATTTCAATGACATCCTGAAAAAGAACGCAGCAAATTATCCTGAACTCTCACAGGATTTCACACTTTACAGAAATGCTAGTAATGCCAGATATATTTGCCATCATAAGAGCTCAAAGGTTCACAAACCCCCGACATCTTGAAAGAGGATTCATAAGCAAAAGCAAGAGAAGACAACATCAAACCCAAAAGGGGACACGAGGTCTGACAGTGCCCGACCTGAGTTCCCAAAGTAGGTCACCCGCCCCTCCTCTCACCTGTGCTGCTCATGGAGCGCCTCCACCTTCGCTAAAAAGTCCTCATTCTGATCCGGTATGAACTGACTATCAGAAAGATAGCCCGGAGGATGAATGGAAGAATCATGGTCTCCAAAATGAGCTATCAAGACAGAATGAGGGGAAAGCACCTTTTCAATGTGGTCTGTATTTACAAGCATCTGTAGCATCAACAGAGAAGATTTCTAAATCAAATGACTCCTTCTCTGTCTCAAGGGCAGGGGCTGGGGAAATCTTTGGTCATGCTTTATAGTCAGTCTCAGAAGGGAAGGAGAGGAGTGAGGTAGTTGCTTAGGTGAATTTCATCCCAAAGTTGAAAAGTCAGATGCAAGGGTATCTTTCTTTACATCTACTCAGCCTGGGGCTCACCCTCCTCAACTGCCACCACACACGAGGGCTGCTCTTTGAGATCTGCGCTGTAATGAAGGGATCTGTGTCCTACTTACACTGTTCCTTGAGGGCTGGGAGTGGGTCAGACTCATCTTTCGGGCCTTGTGCCCAGGCATGGCACATAGTAGCTGCTCGGGTGTTTGGAACTCACCTGCAGAGAGGCTACTGCAAAGTTCAGTTTTGGAAGCGGAAAAGGGCAGAAAGCCAAGTGACCTACACATACAGACTTGGTCATGGGTGGACCACAGGCCACGAAGGCCAGCCAAATGTGGCTAAGCTGTGAACAGGAGTGTCGAGGCCGTATGAGGTAAGCACAAGTGTGGCTTACAGGTGAGTTTGTGCATGGTGAAGTGTACGACAATGCATTTACAGGAAGTAATTTAGATGCCCCGACGCTGGGTCCCCGATGAAAAAAGCCCGAGAAAGCCTTAGAATCACCTCATCCAAACTCTGCATGTTGAAGGAGAACGTGAGGTCCAGAGATGAGAAGGGACCTACCCCTATTACAGAGCTATTTTTCAGCAGTCAAGACCAGAACCTGGCTAGCGCTCCCACCATTCTGCCAGCCTGCCTGCCACGCCTGCGGGCTACTGCTGGCCATTTGCGGATGACAGTGGTCATGTCCCCAGACGACAACCAAATGCTGCAAATGACCTTCTTGAGCCTGAAGGCAGAGTCCTGTTAAATTTTACAGTGTTGGTTGCATCAGCTCATGGAGATCTTCTTGGACCTTGACTTGGTCATCCATCATATTAACGAATAGTCCTAACCCCTGTGCCTTTCTGCAAACATGAACAGCTAGGTTCTCTTTTTAGTCAAGTCACTGACAAATGTCTGAACTTAACACAAGACCACCAAGCGAACCTCCCTGTAGTGTGGTTGTCCCTGGAAATCTGAAGTCGGCTACTCTGCAATGAGCTGTGTTAACCACTAGGGGGAAACAAAGTTAAATAGTCTTTGGAAACCATCTGCAAAGCACAGGGTGGTTCCCATGTTGTATTGAATGACCAATGACATCATCCCACTAGATGCTCTTGATAACCTAGCGACAGGCCTTACTTTTATCCCCATTAAACAGATAAGGAAATGGAGACTCAAGGAAGGAACCTGCCCACTGCTGCTCAGGCTGGTAACTTGGAGCCTAGACCCTGATCACAGTTCATCTTCTTTATCTACTTACCATACAACACGCCCTGAACTCCAGAGTAACACGCTTTTCTGTTTGTGGGGAAGCAACACATGAGAAAGCTAATTATAGCAGAAAGAAAAGGAAATAAACACTTATGTGCGAAATACCTTGTCTTTTAAGTCCCATACATTCTTCTGGCTAATATTTTATATCTTGCAGGACAGAGTGTATGTCTCAGGTACTCAAATGTATGGCATATCAAGCTGTCCTGTTGGGAAAGCCCTTATTTGCTATTCATCTAACTCCAACTTGATCTTGGAGGCTCTTCTTAAGGGGTCATCGCTAGGAAGCTTTTCTACACTACCTCCCCCTGCACCCTCCTTCCCCCTCCAAGGAGAACAAAGTGCATCCTCTGTGCTCACCCTCACTGCCAGCATCAGTTGGTCCATATCTGCCTGCCCACCAGGCTGCAGACCCTTTGCAGAGAGCAGCTGTGCTCTATCTGTGCAACCTGAGGCTACTGCAGAATCCACAAGTGGCAGACGCTCAGAGGCCATTATAGAACAAATATGTATTTTCAAAAACTTCATTCCTGGGGACTTCCCTGGTGGCGCAGTGATTAAGAATCTGCCTGCAAATGCAGGGGACACGGGTTCGATCCCTGGTCTGGGAAGATCCCATATGCTGCGGAGCAACTAAGTCCGTGCGCCACAACTACTGAGCCTGCGCCACAACTACTGAAGCCCACACGCCTAGAGCCCGTGCTCCGCAATAAAGAGAAGCCACCTCGATAAAAAGCCCGCGCACCTCAACGAAGAGTAGCCCCCACTCGCCACAACTGGAGAAAGCCCGCGTGCAGCAACAAAAGACCCAACGCAGCCAAAAAAAATAAAAACAACTTCACTCTTGGGACTTCCCTGATGGCGCAGTGGTTAAGAGTCCGCCTGCCAATGCAGGGGACACGGGTTTGATTCCTGGTCTGGGAAGATCCCACATGCCGCGGAGCAACTAAGTCCGCGCACCACAACTACTGAAGCCCGCGTGCCTCGAGCCCGTGCTCCACAACAAAGAGAAGCCACCGCCATGAGAAGCCCGCGCACCGCAACGAAGAGTAGCCCCCGCTCGCCGCAACTAAAGAAAGCCCACACGCAGCAATGAAGACTCAACACAGCCAAAGATAACTAATAAATAAATAAATTTATTTTAAAAAAACCCTTCATTCTTTGACCCTCATAGACCCTTGACAGGTCACCAGCAATCTTCCACCATCAAGTGCTTTCAGGTTCTTTACCCACAGATCACTTTACTTTTTATCTGGTAAGAAAATGTGCTTTGTTTTGGCTTCACTGGCTACTGGTAGGCTTGTCTTCATATCAGATGTCCCTCTGGGACAATGTGGCAAACCGTATCAGATAAAATTTAGGCTTACTCTTATTTTTCTTTTTTTTTTTTTACTTTTTGGCCATGCCCTGGGGCATGTGGGCTCTTAGTTCCCTGACCATGGATCAAACCACCGCCCCCTGCACTGGAAGCACGGCGTCTTAACCACTGGACCGCCAGGGAAGTCCCTAGGCTTAATCTTTGATCCAGCTATTTCACATCCAAGAATTAATCTTGTAGAAATATATGCACAGAAGTATGGAAAAGTGTGTGTAGGTATATGTTTGAGGGTGGAGGAATAAGAAACTTCTACTTAAAACTGCTCGCCTGACAACCTATGATATTATCATGATAGTCACGCTAATGTTTCTACTGCAGCTAGTCTGGACTTTTTAGGTGCTCATAACTTCCTTTAGCCCCCATTCTATCAGTCCTTTGCAGAGGGAAACCTGACTATTGAAGCTTAGGAATTTTATTTGGTACTCTAAATAGTTTGTTTACAACAGGCCGTTCTTTAGACAGCTTTCTTCTGGGCACAAAATATAGTACGAGTTAAACAACACTTGCCACGAGCCAGGCATATTCTAAGAGCTTTAAGTATATTTCATCTTCACTCAAACCTATGATTAGATATTATTATCACCTCCACTTGACCGATGAAGCTGAGGCCTGAAGAGGATCAAGGTGAGGTAGGTATAGTGGAAGAGACAAGACCCAGGTACTATGGCTTCAGCCTGTGCTCTCACTGACTCAGTTAACAGCGATGGTCCACTAAAGAGTTTCTACTGATCACCTTCGGAGGTGATACTTGAACCAAGCAGTCATATTCCAAGTTGTCATAATCGCCATCATCACCTCCATCTTACATGTGAAAAAACTGAGATTCAGAGAGGTAACACCATGTTAGAAGCAGATGGAGAGCCAGATTTAAATGGAGTTTGCATCCAAAGCTATGTCCTTTCTAGTGTTCCTGGCCTTCAAACCTGAAGCTTTAGATGTGAGCACCAAACTTGCTCTGAGATGTAGGAAAACTCACTCTCCTCAGCTGATCAGCCTGGCAGAGATGGAGTCCACTGGGTCTAGTGACTACTAAGAATACAGTTGACTGGTGACCGTGCCATTTCCTATATGGATGCGACATGGCCGGGTCTGTTCCAGATGTATTATAGGAAGAGGGGAACTTTCAGATCCACCCAAGCTTGTCACTGTGCCATCTCTTCTGAGTCTCCCATTGGGGAGAAGGAGATGTAGGTTATATGGGGAGATGAACACTGGGTCTTGTCTTACTAGTGAGCAGGGCCACTGCTAAAGGTCTCTCTTCTACTTCCTGGTATCATGCAGCCACCTTGCCCTTCACCTCTCCCATGTCTGTTCTTTGCTCCTGGGGAACAGGCAGGCTTAAGGCCACATCAGGAATCCCTGTCAGCATTCTCTTGCTATTTTGCCTCTTCTGAGACCAAAGCAGAGGGAGGAGTTCAGCTAGTGCCTGCCAAGACCAGTCCATCCAGCTCTCTTAACTCCCCACCATGCAGTCGGCCAAGAGGGGAACGAGCCCAGGTGGCGTGGGGCTCACAGGAAGTCTCGGGCAGCTCTGCACGAGTTCTAGTTGGTTACTGCGCTGGCCTCACACAGCTAGTTAACTATAAAGTGGTATTTTACCTTCCATCTGGCTATGCACCCTGTCCTCGTACACATCCGGCATCTACCACGGGGCCTCAAGTGGAACATATTCTAATAATATTTTGGTGACTGAAGAAGTGGATTCTTACTTCAGCATAAACAGGCCTTGATGGAAAATTCCATCCCACATGGCAGCCACTAGCCACACAGACCTATTGAGCACTTGAAATGTGGCTAGTCCAAGTTGAGATGTGCTGGAAGTGTAAAATCTGGACTGGTTTTCAAAGACTTAGTATGAAAAAAATGTAAAATATCAAAATTTTTACATACTAAAATAATATTTTAGATATATTAATACAATGTATTTCATTTTACTTTAACATGGCTACCAGAAAGCTTAAAGTTACACATGAAGCTCCCATTGTATTTCTATTGGGCACTGCTGCTCCAGGCCAATATATAAGCCGTCGCTCTACTGAAACTAAAAATAAACTTCTAGGATCCCAGCAGTGTTTCAGAGGAGCACCAAGCAAGTAGCAGGAGTGACCTCCAGCAAATTCCTGAACCTGTCCGGGTCTTAGTTTCCACATCTGTAAGAAGTGACTGGTAGAAGTATCTGCCCCACCGGGATTTTGTTATAGAGTCAAATCCAATTGTGAGCGGAGGCTCTGGAAAATGTAACGAGCGATAGGTATCTTCTGTTTTCTGGGCTCCTCTGGGAGGAAACCCCACTTTCCCTAATCCAACATCCCTGAGCTGGAGGAGAGCCTAAGTCAGGTTGAAAGTGGAAATATCTGGACAGCCAGAGATATGCTACCCAACAGGATTCCTGGGGAAGGGACTCGGTCAAACAGGATAGGCCAGTGAGTTTCTCAATATACCAGTCAGAACAAGCTGTCCATCTGCGAAATGCTCCTTTGTGACTTACACTGTACTGCATAGGACGCTAGAACCACCGCGGAGTTAAGAGGGCAGGTTAACCTGTCAGAAGAAAAACATATTAGGAAAGTCACCAGAACCCACGACAGCCCAAAACACTTATTGATTATGGGTAATACATGTCTTTTTCTTGGATTAACCATTAAAAAAAATCGTGAATAATAACAAAGAATTTTAGGATACTCAATCTCAAAAAGATAGAAGTAACACACTAAAGAGTCTTTGAAATTAAAAGAGAATTTTTCCATGTTTAAAATAATATATATTAATACAAATACCATGAGGCTAAAGGTTTAATGTTGGCCAGGGTTTGGCTGGTCAAGAAAGGTCAGGCTCATATCACTAAGAGAAAAAGTGAGAAAAGTGTACTCTTAGATCAATGGGCAGCCAGCCTTTGTCTCTTTCTGGTAAAGACGTGAGACTTCTCATAGGGCTAACTGAATTCCTGAGTTCTGCTGACTCTGATTCTTGATTACCTGCTTTCTAGAAGGATGACATCCTCTTAGAAGGGAAAAACAGAAAAGTATTCTGAATTTTAAAACTCCTGTGAGCTTTGAATTACTTAATTAGTTACAATAACTTAAGATTCCTAAATCTATTCACCTTCCTGAAACTTCCCATCTAGAGGGAATGGTCTGCTATCCCTCAGTTTTCCTGCCATCCACTAGAAATCCATGAACCCAAGGTTGGATTTGTTTTCCTTCTTTTCTCTTAAGCTCACTGCCCTCCCAAACACCCTGTTTCAGCCAATGACGCCATCTCTGTCATAGTCCAAATCATCCTGGTTGCTCCCTTCTCTCCATTCAGCTACAGATTTCACGGCCTGCCTAGGAGCTCAGCCAACAGATCTGGGGCAGGAATCACTGCCAGGTGGAGGAACACATGAACAGAAGCAGGAGTGAGGGCTTGCAGGGTTGGGGGGGGACCCAGATTTTAAAAGCATTCTTCCCAGCAACCTTGTGGAAAGTGGAGAAAACATGCAGTTTCCATGGCAGCCCATGAAGTTCCCAAGATATGAGTCACCCCCAGCTCTCTGACTAATCTGGTTGGCTCACCAGCTTTTCCCTTCTGGTCAGCTGTGCTGTGTGCTGGTCCTGAAGTTGCATATAAATATGAAGGTAGCCTTCCCTATCTGAGGGGCCCCATCTTTCAAGTAACCATGTGTTCTTGCTAGAACTTCTAAATGCAGATATGTCTAGGGATGCTTGCTATATATTCGATCATCTGGAGACCCAGAGAGCCCAAAGGAGGAGCAAACATCAGCATTCACTTTCCTACCAAGATGGGCTTCAATGAAATCTAAGCTGGTGTCCTTGCTACAGGAAGAGCAGGTGAATGGGATTCAGGGAAAAGCTTAGGAGAGTGGCTAAAGGGGTTCAGTCTAGATGGAAGAAACAATCCTATGAGTAAGTCAGGAAGAACAACATTTCCAAAGAACGGTGTAAATAGAAAACTAAAGAACACCATGTTCTTTGACAGATTTCCTCCTTACTCTCCAGGCTTTAGGGTCTCCATCTGTCAGACAAGATCACCTATCTCTTCAGGGAGGAGGGGATGAACAAGACCTTTCAAACCCAGGAGAAACGCTAACTAGATCCACTGAATCTGTCAAGAGATCCACGGCTACTAAGGGCTGGATGCCACCCTGACAGCCCACCACCCCCAGAGAGATGAGGGCCACCTGCAGGCCTGACAAGGATGTCAGGGATCTAAGCCAGGACGTGGCCCTCAACAGGTTTCTACTGATTCACACAGAACAAGGGGCATAAGGAAAAATGAAGACGACCAATTTCTAATACTTGGAGAGCTAGACTGGAAGCTCCCGAGGTAGGGGTAGTGGGCCCAGCCTCACTGGACCAGCACAGTCAGTGCCCATCTCGTAACACGTGCTATTTGCAAAATACGTGTGGGGAAAACAAGTCAGTGTGTAGAAAAGAAAGACACAACTAGTTCTATCACCACAGAAGGCAGCCTGGACCCAGGACAGGGGTGGGTAATTTCAACCTAGAGTTACCCTGAAATATAAGAAGGCTGCCTCAGGAAAGCCCCTCATCCTCTTCCAGCCTTTTTTATAGATTCTGTTCCTGCCAAATCCCTCCTGCTTAAAACCCTCAACAGTGCTCCTCTGCCTGGTGGATCCAAGACGCAGGTCTCTGTTTGACAGGAAGAGCCCTCTCTCTCTCTGTTCTGCTGTAGGCCCCCAGCATGTGGCCTCCAATTGGGACTGTGAGGGGGGGAGGCGATGTCCTCTCTGCCCAGTGAGATTTAACTCCTCACTTCTCCACCAACCCCAACTCATCACAGCAATCCACACTCTTCACAAAGCTCACGCCGGCATCTCCTTCTCCTAAAACCTATGATGGCTGTGGTCTCCACCGCCCATATTGGTCCCAATTGCTTCATGAGCTCCTGTCTCATTTCCCCAACCAGACTGCCAGGTCCCTCATGGAAGCACAGTGGAGGCTTCTGAAGACCCTCCTCTGTAGAAGGAAAGAGGGGGTGGGGGGGATGAGAGTAAGACGTGGCTGTTCCCACCCGTTTACCTGCTGCAGTGTCTCCTGTAAGTCAAGAAAAGACTCTGGATTTGGAGAAGGTGGCTCAGGGACCACTGACTTGGAATTTCTCCTCCCTTCCTGAGCCTCTCAGATACTTTGCAGCTACGGAGATGGTCCTGATGCACAAGAAGCGCTGAAGCATGGACGGATGCTCCTGTCTTCCAGCCAAGTTCCCCAGAGAGAAAACGAGTCACCTCTGGGTACTAAGGGGCTCAGAGGGGACCTAAATTGGGCTTGATCTGCTTTCCTGGACGAAGCCCATTTTACATTCGGGATCTCTCCTTCCCTCCCTTTAAAGTTTCTCAGGTCTTTACCAGAAAGATAACTGTACCTTCTGTAATAAAATTGAAACAGCATGAAATGAGGTTTGTCAATCCTCAGCTTCTCCAAATCCAGACCAAGCTAGAAACAGATGTCCCAAGCAGGATGCTGCTTTCAACATCCATTCTTTGTTTACATTTAATTTGTTACCAGAAATGTAGGCTCATTCGATTAAACCCAGGAATTTCAGTAGTCTGGGGCGACTGACAGGAAAAGAAGAATGCGAAAGTCTCATTACCTTCCTTCACAAATATCCATCTTCAGTTGTAAGAAATACAAATGCCTATGAAATAATTGTTTGCATTAATTCACAACACTCAAAGTAAAATAAGGCAAAAAAACAATGATGAGTCAAGGACAAGACCTGCACATGTGAAAAACAAAACACACAAAGACATATTTTTGTGTCAAGTATCAGGCACTGTTTAGTACGCTGCAAAGCTACGCCCCTTCTGTAATAATGGCTCGTGAGGCTGCTTTAGTCTCAATGGGTAGTGGCGGGGGGCATTTCCAGCCGGCCTCCCGCCCGCACATGCTGTCTTGGGATGGCTGAGCAAGGATGGACGGGGTGAGAGCAGCCCAAACAACCAGCTGCTGCTGCTGCCAATGAGCGCCCCCGGCCTGGACCTTCCCAGTCAAACTCGGGGTAGCGCCAGGACCCACAGGCAGCCCCCCGCACACCGAGGGGCTGCTGTTCTGAACATCTGCACACCTATGTTCCCTCTGTGTGAACTTACTGAGAGGTGGAGCGTCTAGGAAGACACCTCCTTGGCTGGGGTGCAAACACCCAGCTGGGCTTTTTCCTGTGTCCCAGGAACTGTGGGCGCCGGAGCAAAAGCATAGACATCAGTCATCTACAGGCTGCCAGGCCTCCCGGGTGAATCCTGCACTTGTCTGTGAGTTCCCAGCAATGTCGCTTCAAAACCCGGGACTTGATTTGTGGGCAGAACTTGGTAAGTTCTTGGCTAGTCACAGGACCCTCCATCCAGGGAGCAGGAATCACAAGGCATCAACAGTGCTGTGCAGGCCGGGAAGGGCCCTGGAGACCGTTATATTTAGGGACACGGCATACATGTGACACTTGACCTCTGGCTCCCACTCTCTGTTAAAAGCCTGGATTCACACGAGATAGACATTCCAGCATCTGGCCAAGATGACAAAAGGGAAAATTCTTGAAATCCAATACAGATGCAGCAGAAGTGTTCAGGGCCAGGAGAGAGAATTTCGGCAATTTAAACAAACCGGTCTCAATATTCCTTCTAATTTCTATGTTTAAAGGTTAAGGGCGCCAGTGTTTTGAGATGTGAATGCGTCACATGGTATTACAACCCTGTATTTGCACAGTTCTGGGCTGTGTGTGGTACTTCATAACTTATCGCCTCATTTCAGCCTCGTAAGAACTCTGCGGTGGGTACCGCTACCTCCATTTTTTACTGATGAGGATACGGATGCCGTATGGGTTATGTGGGGTCAGTTATGTCTTATTTCAAGCTGGACACGCATGCTATGAAAACAATCTGATTATGCTACAAATTTCTTATGCGTCTAATGACTAAAAAGCTTAGGATCCATCTCCTAACTCTGATATTACTTTGACTGTAATTATCACCAACTACTCCTACCGTGTTGAATGCCAGAGCATCGAGAGATGGTGTGACATACATTTGCTGATTCTCTCTTATTCCAATTTGGAATCTCTATCTTTTCCACCTAGGAGAACACGATTGGTCCTTTCTAGTTTGTTCCTATATTTATCCAAGCTGAAATTCAACTGGAATTAAGTGTTCTCTCCTCCTATAATGCTACTGAGAGAAAGAAGAGAAGGAACAGAATTACAGATAATCCAGTGGTAAATCTGGACTTTCACTGACAAGCGCAGCTAAGTGGAAGGTCTTCCTCGGGATGTAAAGGAGAACGGGAACCTGGAGACCCCTGTTCATCAAATGCTACTTTGTCATATGTTCAGCAACGTTTCTGAGTCAACCCCAGGACATCATACACAAAGAGATCAGAATAGTGGAATGATGCCCCAACTTAGGAGACCTCCTAGGAATCCTGAGAGAGCCTGATTCTGAGACTGCCCGTATATGAAAGTCTGTTTAAAACGGTCTAAATTTATCAGAAACAGCCACTGTGGAGGCTCATAATTAAGGAGACAGTTAGCAGTTAGAATAAAGGAAGTCATTTAAAAGAGATGCTTGTGGGCCTGACTTCAGAAATGTTAACGCTCATTTCTGGAGTGCACCCCAATCCATGACCTCAACTTCAGAAAAAAGCAATAAACGCCTCCCTGCCTAGATCCTTAGTAAACAAACAGCAAAGAACAAACACCACCTCTATACTCCTCCTTTGACCCTTGAGAGCGAACATTCTTTAAAGGGGAACTTATTTTTGCATAGGCTACAGAGCTGGGGCTTAAAAAAGATATGATGTATAATACCGTACATCAACTATACTGCAAAAAAAAAAAAAAAAAAAAAAGACACTAAGTGCCAGGAATATAGGCAAAACTCTTCATTAAAGTAAAAACAAAACAATATTTTTTTGAATTAATGGTGGAAGCCTGGCCCAGCCTAAGAAGAAGATCTGAAGGTCCTGGCTACTCCCCAGCTCTGTAGGAGCCACAGGGGTGGCTGCTGCCATGACTCCTGCTGTGTTAAGAGAAACCTGTCGCCCACATCCCGGGAGCTGACAGCTACATTCACTCTACCGCACACTGCGGGGACCGCCCATCTTACCGTGGGAGGTTGAGCCGTGGGGTTGAGTGTCAGTCTGGAACTAGTGACTTTTAGGAGGGACACGGACACACCGAATTTTATCTGGAACTTAGGTAAGAACAGAATTTAGTCTATTATTTGCCTTCAGACAAAATCCGCCTCTCTGTAGTCTCCACCCGCTGGCCGTAATGCTACCACGGAGCACATCTAATTCCCCCTTTCCCATGACAGCACTTGAAAGATCTGAAAGCAGCCCTCATTTCTCCGAGCCTTCTCTCCATCCTGACCTCCCTACCTTTCCTCAGATGTCCCTCAAATGACAGGGAGGCTCAGCAGAAAGAAGCTTTCCTGTGGGGTATGGAAGTAGCGTCCAACGACCGAGAGGGGCCCTGGAGAAGGGCTCCCGGGTTAGGCTGGTGTGAGTGATCCCTTCACTAAGGTACTCTGGCAGCCGCAACCCTAGGGCTGCAGCATCTCAGGGAGGACACAGGGCAATGAGGGACGACCACCGGTTTAGGCAGTGCAGGTCACACTTGGGGTGGGAACCCTTCAGTAGGTAATAAAATCAATTTAATGAGCCTCAAGTGACATTTTAAAAGAAGAAAATAGAAAACTTAAGAGTGCTTTGCAGTTACTATTGTTTCATGAAATGTCTGCTTCAGTAATTTACATGTATCTCTGTAATGCATTACAAAGCAAAATATATTTTTTATTGTGGGGTTATGATTACAAAAAGAACACCACTGGTTAAAAACACACACACAAATATATATATACACACACACACACACACACACACACACACATATAAAATCCATCATGACATTTTTTAAAGCATCCCTTGAAGAGAATTTGATATTCAGTAGTAGCCTGAATATTTCCAGTAGGAAAATCCTGGTGGGGTCATTTCAAACATATTCTCATAGATCATGTCACCACTCTGCATCCACCGGCTTATGAGTTGACCTGTGAGTTGAGTGAGTGTCCTACACTCCCCCTTAGTCCACCAGCATGAAAAGCTGTTATGAGGAAAACTCAAGGCATCACGTGTATGTCCTGTGGTTACCCAATGAGTCATGCAGGACATCTTATACCCGCTTAAAATTTAACCTAATAGTAAACACAAGTCAAATCTCCAACGTCTTCTATTGTAGAGGGAAGAGGTGTACAAAGAAGACAAAATAGTAATAGACTAATATTTGGCCTTTAAACACATTAAAAGTTAAAATGTGATCGTGTGATTACCATTTTTTTTAAAAAAAGGAAAAAACGAAAGAGCACTTTATGTCCAAGTTAACGTCTCCTCCTTGGTGACGGTCTCATGGCCACAATGGGCACAGGATAGGATTCAATAATCCTGAACGTTCATTGCTTTTTTTTCTGGTGGAAGAGTTTCCCTCCCTAAGAAAAACAAACGTTTCAATAATAGAAGGGCTGGCTGTTGCCCTGGGGGGAGGGGAAGGAGAGGCCCCGGGGAGCCTGCAGAGTCCATGTTCAAACAGCAACAACTTTCCTGTACCTGCCCCTCCACTCCAAACACGGGTCCCCATCCAGAAAACCCACGTGCCAGCTCAACACCAGGGCCAGGACCTGCGCCAAGCCTGGAGGGGTAAACAAGTCTCACAGCCCTCTGGCCCTTATCTGTTTCACGGATTACCTGAACCACAGATTCACGGAGGCGGAGGAAAGACACTGACCCGGCCTCCTCTCCTTTGCAGCTCCTACCAACAGGGGATCTGATAGAAAGTTCTCAGTTCAGAGACCTCTCGTTCTCCTAAAGAGCTCAATCCTAGCCCCTCAGAGACACTGCGCTGTTTGACAGGTAGATAGATGACTGTTTTACAAACTTCCTGGTTGCAGTAGCAGAAAATAACTGTGTTCTCTGAACACAGGTGCTCAACATGCAGGGGCAGCTGGACGGAAGGGGAAGGTAGGAGGTGGTGGATGGGAGCGTGCTGGGAATGGCACCAAATCAGGAGGCTCAAGATGAAAATGAACTCGCCGATTAAAATTTCAATACATGTACCCCCCAATTTTTAGTGGGATCGTAACTGTTGGTGCAGTTATACCCAAGTGAAGTTATCTGGCCACAGTGATAAATTAAAGAGCACATTTTCAGTCGTTACTCATTTTTATATACTAAATAGAAAACTTAAAAAAAAATGTTATTACCTGGTTTGTTCTTGCTGCAGTGTGTTGGGATCAGGTATAAAAAATCTTACTCGAAAATGCAGGGTACAGGGGATACCTCCTACAACATTTTTCAAAAACAAATTAAATTTTCCCTTTAAAAAAGTCAATGTATGTAAGCGGCTACTCTCCCATAAGTGACGCATTTTTCACCAGACCACAGCTTTTTCCATCAATAAAAGGACTAATTTCAAAAAAGGAGTGCATAAGTTAGTTAAGTGTTCAGAAATCTCCAAGTCTACAAGAAGTAAAATATTTTTGCAACATCACCATAAAATGAGGAATAATCTAATTCCTATTACACGTTTAACTTAGGGATGTGTTCAAACAATGCACTCCATTATCTGTATTAGGAACTTTAAAAATCCTTAAATCAATAGATTATACAAAACTCACAAAGAAGTTATCTCCCACATATATAATGATTTCATACTTTTCAAATGTTTTCACGTACCCTCTTGAATTTAAATACCGCCATGACTATAAGTAAGCTAGGCTGCTGTCGACTGCACTGTGTAACAGATTAGCCACCAGGCTTGGAGATGTGACTTGCCTTGGGTCACACAGCCAATGATAACACCAGACTTATAGCACTGAGTCTTTTGATTCTGCATTTTAAAATCATTTTTATACTGCAAAATATTTCATGCTTTTAATGCAAAGTGAATTCTAAAAATGATTACTACAGTAGCAAATATTACACAGCTAATATACTCAAATACGGCTTTCTGCAACAACGCCAAGAGTCCATTTGCTTGCAAGGATAAAATTAGCCCATTTCTTTTGCTGGATGTGGCAACAGGAGAAGATCAGACTGTGTTGCTAAGATCCCATGCTCTTCTTCACATCAATTTCTCTCCTCTCCATCACTCAGTATATATTCACGGGCCCTTTCCAGCACTTTCTGGCTCTGTGAAACTCAAGCTTTTCCCACCCTGCCTCCCTCACTGATCTCCTCTACATTAGTTCATTATGGGCTCCACCCTCCCTTCTCAGTAGTACCCTCTGTCTTTATCTCTGGATTGTATCAAAGACTCTAATGGTGTGTGTGCACCTATGAACGTACCTGTGTACAGGTACCTGGGTACCTGTGGGTGGTTCTGTAACTCTGGGTGCATGTGAGGCTCTGCATGTCGGCCAGGTTTGGGGCATAAGGTGCATAAAGGGGAACAGAGAGCGTGATGTTGGAAAACCAGGTGAAGGGTGCAGTGAGGTGTGGTTCGAAAACCCACCTAACTGGGAATTAACCTACAGCACTGGGATACACTCACGTGTTATGTCTGTGACACTATTTACCCATGCCTTTGTTTCCTGTGAATGGAACTGTGCTGTTGAAAAGGACTGTGTGTGTGTGTGTGTGTGTGTGTGTGTGTGTGTGTGTGTGTGTGTCTTTTCCATCCTGGCTCTCACACTGGGCTGAAAAAGGCCATCCTTCTTCCCCTTTCTTTCCTATAAAATGAAATGTGGAATTCCTTTGCTCTTAGCTGTCTTCTTTCACCTTTCCCTTTCTTGCCCATATTTGGTGAGGACCCTTGGGGGCTGATCTGGAAGCATCTCTGCTAACTCAGAAGTCAGACAGGGAGAAGTCAGCTTACTCACGTCTCTTGGACCACCTGGAATCCAGGTACCAGATGTTACAGGTACGCTGAGGATTGGAGGAGAGAAATGGGACACGATACACTAATACCTAGTGTTCAACCGACATGGGAAGGTCACACCCACCTTTTAACTGCTTCCTGATGGGTTTGCTTGCTTCAAGCCATCTCTGTTGGGTAAGAAAACATAAGATATAAAACCAAACGCAGCGGGGGGGGGGGGGGGGGGGGGGGGATTGGGGGAAAGGGAAGGGGCGGGGGGGGGGGGGGGGGGGGGGGGGGGGGGGGCAGCACGTCTTCAAGGGAGGGTACTCACAGGAGGGTCCACTGAGTCATCACCGTGCTGCAAACCAAAATACTCCTTTTCCGTCACGCCCAAGTAGTTGTAAGCCATATCCAGGAGAACTTGACCAGTATCTTGTTTCTAGGGGAAAAAAATGTCCAGTGGGCAAAATTTTAAAACAAATTAAGAACTGGTGTTTAAAAGTCTTTATTGCAGGCAAGAAGGTGTTAAAACACGCAGAGAGATTTCATGCACACAGGTACCCTACAATAAGAAATATTAATAAGAATTTAATGAATTCCAAATTAAGAAGCCCCACGGAACATATGGAAAGTAGGGCTAAGATAAATATGATTTAAGAGAATGAGATAAATTTAATTTTCTAAGATTCCTTCCTTCCTCTTAGCTGAGATTCCCAAGTGATCATGTCTAAATTGGAAAACTCAGGTATCCCAATGACAGTAAACTCTCCGTGACCTACCCACGGATTATCCACAGCAAAATGTTAATCCTCAGGCGCCATGCAAGTATACACAGGGAGGAAAACTCTACTAACAGCATGAAGGAAGACAGCTAAGAATACGCAAATGCCGTTGGAAATACCCTCCAAGTGATCTGGCAAGGGACACTGGAGGATTATCTGCTTCCCTACTCCCCGGCATCCGAGGTGAGAAGCCAGCGGAGACTTTCAACCACACTTCACGTCCAGAGCAGGACTCAGACACCTTCGCCACTCAGTGTTTTCAGACCGGGCACAGTGCTGGGCGTGGGGACAGAGCCATAACACATGTCCCTTTCCTGCCCTCCTGGAGAGGCCAGCCGTGCAAGCAGCGACCATAACCCGGTGTGTCAAGTGCCAAAGAACACTCGGGGCACAGTGAACACACACAGGACAACACAAACGGGTGACTCAACCTGGGGACAAGGGAAAGCAGTCCCTGACC